AGGGGCATTGGGGGGGTGGGGGGAACTAACAGGGAGGGTGGGGACGTGGATCAGGGAGGAGAGGTTGGCCCCCATGGTCAGGGACCGATGAACCTTGCGGCGAGAATGGGGGACAGGCAGTCAGAGTGACTGCTGTTGGACAACCAGCGGCGTCTGCCACGGTGGGCCCGACGGAGGATTTGCAGACTGGAGGAGTGGGAGGCTGTGGGACGGTCGAGCAGGGATAGGAGTCGGAGGGCGGTGGGAGAGGAGGACCAAGCGGGAGTAGTGGAAGGTAGAGGACAGGGGTGGGAGCATTTTGGAGAAGCAGCTCGGGTCGGTGGCGAGCATGCCGAGACTAGGAGCGAATGGCGGGTGTGGTAGGGCCTAATACTTGGAGAAAGGAAAATTAGTTAATGTTTCAGGGTAACTGATCCAATATCATACCAAGTGGAGAATTTACAACAACAACTTGGATTTATATAGCGCCCTCCACGCCGAACAGTGTCTCAGAATGCTTCACAGTAACGGATCCTGGGGCCGAGCTAGGGGGAGGAAAGTGACCAAAGGGGCGGTCGAAAAGAAAGGTCTTCAGCAGAGACCTGAAAATAAGAGAGGGAGAGAGGCGAAGGGAGTGAGTTCCAGAGCCTCAGGGTGTAGTGTCTGAAAGCACAGCCACGAAGGATGGAGCGTAGGACTCTGGGGACAAGGAGGAGGCCAGACCCAATTCTATATCTGTGTTGAGTCAAGGTAACAAAATTTAAACCGATATTATAATAATAATATAATAATCCTTGCATTTGATATAGCGCTTTTCACGTCGGGAGGACGTCCCAAAGCGCTTCACAGAACACACTGTAAAGTGAATTGACTGTATATTTGTGGGCGAACGCGGCAGCCAATTGCGCACAGCAATGTCCCACAAACAGTCGTGGATTGAAAATGACCAATTTATTATTGTTTTTTTTTTGGGTTTTGGAGGGATTATTATTAGGCGTGTGGAGTAAGGAAACTTGCCCAAGGTTTCGCGCTGCCTGGAATTGAACTCAGGTCTCTCGCTTGCAAAGCCGAGTGCTCAACCACTGAGCTACAGGACTCCACATATTAAAAAAAATTGTTGTCTTCAAACAACAATTGTTGTTTCAAAGACAATTGCTGTCTTCTTGTCTTCAAATCCCTCCACTCCTCTGCACCCCCCCCCCCCCCCCACCCACCCCACCTCTCTGATCTCCTCTCTCCTCTCAACAGTGCCTGTTAACGTTCGTTCCACCGGGTCTGGCCTCCTCCTTGTCCCCAGAGTCCTTGCCCCACATATCACAGACATGGTCAACCTGTCCCTCTCCTCTGGGTCTGTTCCCGTTCCCTTAAAAACTGCCACCATCACTCCCACCTTGAAAGAACCATCCCTTGATGCGTCGCAGCTATCAAGCTACCGGCCCATCTCCAATCTCCCCTTCCTGTCCAAGGTCCTGGAACGAGTTGTCGCCTCCCAGCTGCGCTCTTTCCTCTCACCCATTCATTATTCGAACCCCTTCAGTCGGGTTTCCGTGCTGCCCATAGCACAGAAACTGCCCTGGTCAAGGTCACCAATGACATCCTGACCAACTGTGACCAGGGCTCCCTCTGCCTCCTCGTCCTCCTCGACCTATCGGCAGCATTAGATACGGTCGACCATGCTATCCTCCTCCACCGCTTGTCCTCCCACCTAAACCTTCAAGGCCCTGTCCTTGAGTGGTTTAGGTCGTACCTCTCCCACCGTCTTCACTTTGTCTCCACGAATGTTTTTTCCTCCAGCCCCTGCACTGTCTCGTGCGGTGTCCCTCAAGGCTCTGTCCTCAGTCCCCTCCTCTTCATCCTCTATATGCTCCCCCTGGTGACATCATCCGCAAACATGGGGTTAACTTCCACATGTATGCGGATGACACCCAACTCTACCTTTCCTCCTCTACCCTCAACTCCACGACCACCGATGTCCTGACAGCTGCCTGTCCGACATCGAGTCCTGGACGAGAGATAACTTTCTCCAGCTCAACGTGCGCAAAACTGAGGCCCTCCTGATTGGCTCACGTCAGCGCCTCTGCACCTCAGGCGCTGACAGCATCAGCATCCAAGGCTGCACTCTCCACCTCTCAAAGCCGGTCAGGAACCTCGGGGTTCTGTTCGACCCTGAGCTGTCCTTTCTCCCTCATATCCGCACCACAACTGGCACCACCTTCCATCACCTCCGGAACATCGCCAGACTACGGCACTACCTCACCCCTCACGCGGCTGAAACCCTGGTTCACGCCTTTATCACCTCAAGGCTGGACTATGGGAACTCTCTCCTCGCCGGCCTTCCCGGCACCTCCCTCCACAAGCTGCAGGTCATTCAGAACTCTGCAGCTCGTGTACTGTCCCGCACCAGGACCACATCACTCCCACCCTCGCTCGCCTCCACCGGCTCCCCATCCCCCAGAGGATTGAATTCGAGATCCTCATCCTCACCTACAAGGCCATTCACGGCCTTGCTCCCTCCTACCTCTCCGACCTACTATCCCCCTACCTACCTGCCCGTAACCTCCGTTCCTCTGGCTCCAATCTGCTCCACATCCACCGCCCCAACCGCCCTACCATCGGTGGCCGGGCCTTCAGCCTCTCAGCCCCGAGGCTCTGGAACTGTATCCCCCAGTGCCTTCGCCGCCTCCTCCCTTTCCTCCTTCAAGGCCAGTCTCAAGACCTTTCTCTTTGACCGTGCCTTCAGATCCCCTCTCGACTCTCTACCCCCTCCTCGCTCCTTCCCTCCCCTCACCCTGACCATTTCCCCCCTGCTCGGGTCCTGACCCAACTGTACAGCGCCTTGGGACGTCCTCCCAACGTGAAAGGCGCTCAATAAATGGAATCTTGTTGTTGCTGTTGTTGTAAGAGCAAATTAACACAAAGAACTTTATTAATTTATTAGTTTTTTGTGCCATGAACAATAAAAAAACTTATCGTAAGATTTCTATTGTTTAAAATTCAATTGTACACAGGAGTTAAATAAACAATTGGCAGACAACATATGACCAATTAGTACATTAGTACTGACCAAAATTTCAATTAGAAAGGCTGATTCTCATTTGTGTTATAATTAGATTAATGTCACTGAAACATTATTTAGATATGTTTAAATTATGAAGCTCACATTAGTAAACATTTCATACGGACAGACTAATACAGGATATTGTTGTGTGCCAATTGGCTGCCATCTTTGCAGTCACTACTGTCTACAATAAATCCTTTGAAGCACTTTGAGACGTTTCAATGAAAAGTTAAGGCTCTATATCAATTGCAAGAATTCATTTAAATATTCACGTTGAAGGGGTGAAAGAAATACATTTCACAAGAAGAATGTAAGCTTCGGCATCCGATTAAAGTAAAAACAAAAACAATTCCAACTTTATTAGAATTTACATCTGAAGAGCAAGCTTTCTAGAAAAATGCAATGCAAGATATTTTGACTGGAAAGGTTATTGTACCAGGAACCGTTTCATTGCTTTACCTTTCATAAGCAACTAGCAGATGTAGTTTGCTTGAAATAATTGCGTATGTTAACATGAAGATAAAGCAGTTTTGCCCTGAAAACCAATGAAACGGATCTAGAATACATCTAAGCACTCTTAAGTAGGAATTTGTAAAATAAAAATTTATATCCCTTTGGGCAAATTCTGATAACAAGCTGACCAGGAGATCTAAGCATCAATACAAGATATATTATGGTTGGAAGAGGTCTTTATTTTTCAGCCATACCACCAATTTCTTTTACTATCTTGCTACGTAAGCCATCTCGTCATTCAAGGCCAATGATGGCAATGGTGTCTTGATTATAGCCAGAAGCATGTTTAGACGATGAAATATCTGATGTTGTATTAAGTACATTTGTGCGTCTCTATTTCTAAACAATTATATAATAGCAATGTACAGGATTGCAAAATACTGTCAGTCAATCTATCTGGTTCCAAAGTAAACAGTAATTCATACACTAACATTATTTCTTTCCAAATAACAATTTAATTCCCTCTTGAATTTTCTGAAACCTACCACAGCTTCTCTGGCTAGTCACCTCCACAATCGGTGTGTGAAGTAACTAAATACATACTGTTTGTTTATCTTCCCTCTTGATCTCAAGTCCATACCTTTTAGTAGTTTGTGACTATTCATAGAATCATACAGCACAGAAAGAGGCCATTCGATCCATCGCATCTGCGCCGGCTCCTAAAAGAGCAATCCAACTCAATTCCACTGGCCCGCTTTCTCTCCATAGCCCTGTAATCCTGTCCTCTTACGGCAAGTCTTTATCATATATAATGTATGCAAATAAGCCAATATTCCTGATAAATATGATTATATGTAAACATATTTATATAATATAGTAGTGGGATCTGAAACATGACTATTTTTCAAATCGTGTTCAATAATTGAAAAACCCAAGTGTACATCACCTCAATTTATGGGAATTCACTCAGACACCATCTATCTTCAGATGGACTTCACTTGAGTCATCATGATTTACTTCATTAAGTTACCTGAAGGCATTTCCATTTGAATCCCATTTGAAGTTGCAGCATAGACATTAAATTATTACCGAGTTCCATCATGGTGGTTCAGTGTGTAATTTGATACTAAAAGTAGCGTGGAGTCCAAACTTCGCTGATTGCTTCTCTTTGAAAGAGACACCATTAGTCTGGAACAGCACCTAATAAATCCACAGAATATGCTTGGACACATCTGTATCAGTCAATTATTTAGAGAATCATATAACACTTATTGCATAGCTGTCTATGGTGAGGCTTATTATCTTGTGCCATGCTAATAAACATTGTGAAGCCCTATTGACAAAAATAATTTGATTATTTTATGTGATTTTTTTCCCCCCAAAACATATACTATTCTAGCTTTTAAGGATACATTCCTGTGCCTACAACTATTGCAAATCTTAGCTCCAATTTTCACTAAGAATGCAAAATAGACGCCATGCTCTGGTGTTCAATTGTTGATCTTTTTCAGTTCTGCCTCATTGTTGGTCTCAATGATCATTGCTCTGATTTCAGGTTATATCTCTGTGAACAAAAATGTAAATACAGAAAAATTAATTATTTATTATGCTCTTAGCAACTGGGGAAGGTAAAGCACACTATTAAATATAATTATTTTACCACTGATTTTTTAAAAATATAAATGTTCTAAATTTAATGTGTCCAATTTGTTTTTATCTCCACTCGCATGTGCTTCTCTGCTCCTTGTCCTTAGCCTCCTCTTACTGGGAGGCAGTTCCATGGGCAGTTGCCCTCCAGTAACTCACCCAAATATCCAATGTTCATCTGGTATGTCTTTGTGAAGTGTCAATAGGACATTCAGCTGTAGAGGATGTCACAGCCAAGCCTAACCTCTCTTCATCCAGCAACCAAATATACACTCTACTACTTGTATGTTGTAGAGGATGTTGTAGAAAGACAACAATAATAAAAAATTGAATTAAATACCGCATTTCACATCAGGAAGACGTCCCAAGGGGCTGGACAGCCAAGGTATGTTTTTACCACGAGCACTGAGGCTGCCCTGCGTATAATTTTTTTTATTTGACTAATTCTAACACATAAAAAGTAATTGTGTTTGTTAAAACTGATGCACATAATATTTTACCTGAAGGCAAAGGCATTTTTAAAATTTTCCATTATTTGGATAGGTTAGATGAATAAAACTGCCCTTAGCAAACTAAGATAAAAGTATGGACAGAGCAAACACTCATGAAAGCAGATCCTTTGTGATGTTTTTGACGGGTTTGGAATTTGCCAATAGTGAAAGAACCTTCACGGTTATGCTATCCAGAGCTGTCAACTCAGCACAATAGCAATCACTGTCATGCATGCAAGGCAACAATACTGTAAATATAGACCAATGGCACAGGATTACAGCCCTCAAGTTGCTGAAATTTTTCTGCATCTACTCCACCGAATAGCGTTAAAATGAATTGAATGAGTTTTATTAAGGATTGGTTCAGCATAACGGTCAGAAGAATGTGAAGTGGAAACCCTCAATACAGCAGTGGGTTACCCAATCTTGGTCTTACGGATGGTCATTCTTCTTGAAGAATGTAAACAAAAAAAATTACCTCACACAAGCTGCATATTACATTAAAGTGAATATTACACAAAGCTTTCCCTCTCTCATTTTTTAAATATCACAAATCCATACTTATAAGTTTGTTGATTTCCAAACAGATACAAGTTTATTTTTAATTCACAGCTATACTACTAATTTTTGTATTCAATAATTGTGTGACAATAGTTACATTTTAGCTGAATTGCTGAAACTAGGCCAATGCTGCTAGTAGTTGCTAGTATTCTGCATTCAAACTTATACCATACTCATGCACGACTTCTCTTTAATGCATTGTACTAGGTTATTTAAATGTTTAAGTAGAAATGATAATGCTTCAAGTAAAATTCTGTTGCAGAAAATAAAATTAGGTACTTTACTGTAAAGTTTACAACATTTATTGTATATAGCGGCCTTCACATGGGATAGCGTCTCAGAGTGCTTAGCAGTGATGGAGCTTGACACCAAGCCAGCGAGCGTGGGGAGGTGACCTTAGACCTCCTCCCCTCTCTGGCGACCGTCAAAGAGGAAGTTCTTCAGGTGTGATCTTAAGACAGACAAAGAGGGGGCAAGGCAGAGGGATTTAGGCAGAGAGATCCACAATATTGGGGTGTAGTGGCTGAAAGCATAGTTGCCGATGTTAGAGCAGAAGGGATGAGGGACGTGTAGGGGGTCAGAGCCAACTGAGCGAAGGGGGCGGATAGAGGAGTGTAAGCAGGTTGGAAAGGGATGTGTCAGGACATGAAGTGATCTCCATGTGAGTGTGAGGATCTTGTAATCAATCCGTTCTGCAATAGGGTACCTGGCAAGGACTGGGGTGATGGAGGTGCAAAGTTTAATATGGGTGAGGATATGGACTCAGACTTTTTAATTTATCGAAATTTATGAATGGTGTAGCTATGATGAATGGCAAGGAGGATATAGGCCCAATTACATAAATAAATGTTATTGAAAAATAGCCTGAAGTATCTAGGCAGAAAAGTTAATAATTAAAAGGTCACTGTACTGCCACAGTTCTCTGAGGTCTGTATTTTACCTCTTTATCTCACCCACGATAATACAAAGTCAATGGACTCTACAGTGTATTCTGTAAAGGGCTTTAAGACATCCTCCACACTAGCTGACAGGTGCTATTTCAAAGATTATTATTAGCTTTGTGTTCTTCAGTTAGGAAATTCATCCAGTGACGTGTCTTCCTTGGATGGATGACCAGATTTCTCCAAGTGACAACCAGGAAGTCAGTCAGTTTTAGGACTAGAAGCCAGCCATTCAAGTCTAATAGGGACCTATATGCACCTAATCAGTTCTGATAAGTCCACATGAGTCCACATTAGACCCAGGCTAATAAGCGAGACAACGTTCTATCAAAGGGCACTATTACAAGGTTGCCCGGTAGTTAGTCAAGAGGCTTCTTAGATTCACGGTGGAGTCCTGTAGCTCAGTGGTAAGAGTACATGCCTCACAAGTGAGAGGACCTGGGTTTGATTCCCGGAAGAGCGAAACGTTGGGCAAGTTTCCTTACTCCACATGCCTTTGTTTACCTAGCAGTAAGTAGGAACCCGATTGATTAGCGGATTACTTTTCCGGGGATAATAATTCCTTCCAAAAAAAAAATAATTTGGTCACTCAATCCACGACTGTTGGTTGGGCACTGTTATGTGTAATTGGCTGTCACCTTTTGCCTACAAAATACACAGTCAATTCACCTTAGTGTATTCTGTGAAGTGTTTTGAGACACCTCAAAGACGTGATTAAGCGCTTAATCAAATTTAAGGATGATTATTATTATAATAATCCTTGCATTTAATATAGCGCTTTTTACGTCTTCTCGACATCTCTTAGCCCTTCATAGAATATGCTGTAAAGTGAATTGACTGTATATTTGTGGGAGAAACGCGGCAGCTAATTGCGCACAGCGGTGTCCCACAAACAGTCGTGGATTGAAAATGACCAATTTATTATTGTTTTGTTTAGGAGGGATTATTATTAGGTGTTTGGAGTAAGGAAATTTGCCCAAGGTTTCGCCCTGCCTGGAATTGAACCCAGGTGTCTCGTTTGCAAGGCGAGTGCTCGAACCACTGAGCTACAAGACTCTACATTATAGGTATGACATTCCCATTATTGAAACAATACATGATAGGCTACTAAAAAGGTGCACCACAGAAAACAGAAGAACCACCACAGTTCTGATGATAAAATGGACTCCCGGTACTGCAGTAGGAACAAGAGCAATGTACTTCACACATGTTCATGTTTTTCATGCAGAAAAGCGTCACAATGTGTCTTTTTGGGTGTCTACATCTAAAGGACATTGGTGAATTGGAGAGAGTTAAATGGGTATGTGGAAGAAAATTGGGAAGAAATCTAAAATAATATACAACAGGTCAAGTATAATTGCACGAATATTGTTGAAAGGAGTGCACTTGATGAATCAAATGGCTTTTTATAGCACAGTGCTTTCATCGGTTCTGATATAGTGAATACGAAAAAGAAGGATTCTGTTCATATCACACAGTTAATTCAAGTATGGATTCTACCCTCCAGCTATTTTCACACTGAATGGGAACTGACATTTTGTTCCTAAAGTAATCCGTGTCGAGATGCGCTTTGTTCTCAGATTATAAACTCAAGGGGGACTACTTAAAAAGATAGTCACCAGTCTCCAAATCAACAGCTTTCAATATAGTTGAGTTTTCAGGAGTCAAACACTTTGCCAATGGAAGTATAATAGCTGTGACGATCAATTTAAGAGTGTTTTTTCTCTCCAAATTCTATGTAAATGAGGGAGAATATCACCTTTGCTGAACACTTTGTCATGATAGCAGTTCCCCTTTAAATCTGATATGGCTGAGAGCCAGGGGCATGGAGTACAAATGTGGCTCCAAGCATCTAATGAGGGGAGGAGGGGAGAATGGAAAGAAAAAGAAAAGTCATGTAAAACACAAAGAGAGAAAAGAATAAATCTTAAAAAAAAAAGTTTTTTTTCGGTAAGAATGCTTGAATGAGGCATATCATTTCACAGGTTGCAGTTTATCATAGGTTGTTTGCTGGACTGCTCACAGACATCCATCTTTTCACTGTTGACGAACAGCATAATCCCACTTTTCAAAACTTTGAGATGAACATCAAGAATGCTAAAACAAATATGAACTGACAAATATTCTTTGAAGTTATGTAGGAAATATTGACATGTCCATTTGCTACTGACAGTAACTATGTTACAGAACAGATAGATTACTCAGAATGCATAATTGAGGCTATGTGTCTCTATAGGCAATGAAAGATTTGCCCTTTGGGTCAGAGCACCTGCAGGATTATGTGACACAACTAGGTAAGTAATGGTTTCATTGTTACCATAAAAAGTACATTAAAAAAATGAAACACGTTTATGTTCACATCATCAGTTGATCTGGGATGAAATCCCCCATTGTGTTATAATCTGGAGTAAAGCTTGATGCGGGCAGGAATGTTATTATGCCTGCTTTTCCCAGAGCACTTGGCAGGATGTTACTTTGAAATGTACCTCTTTTATGTAGGGGTAGCAAGTGTATACCAGCAACAGCTCAAAAACAACAAGATCAATGACTAAACTTAACCTGCTTTTTTGGTGAATTTGGATAAGCAGACTATTGAGCAGGATAATACCACTGGCTGATAATATAAAGATAGCTTCACAAATATATACTTCCAAAATATTGCTCTCACCGTAGTGTAGTCACACACGCCCAATAATAATCCCTCCAAAAAAAAAATAATAAATTGGTCATTTTCAATCCATGACTGTTTGTGGGACACTGCTGTGCGCAATTGGCTGCCGCGTTCGCCCACAAATATACAGTCAATTCACTTTACTGTATATTCTGTGAAGCGCTTTGAGACGTGAAGAAGACGTGAAAAGCGCAATATCAAATGCAAGGATTATTATTAACATGAAGAGCAGAGAATAGAGTCAAACAGCCTTCCAGCTAAATGCAATATCGCCAATTTTTCTCCTCCCCATGTGAAGGTATTTTGACTCCCTTTTCCTTCTGTTTGCGAAGTTATATAGGCATATGTTGCCCTTTGTGCAAGCAATCACATGGTGTTATGTAACATTCCTGTTCACATCAAGCTATACTACAGATTAATCATCCATAAGGAAGAGTGTCACAGCCGAGCCTGATCAGGTTCTCACCCAACAAAAAAAATTCTCCTCACTCCCCTCTGTTTCTTTTAACAACTATTTTAAATCGGTGCCCTCGGGTTACTGACCCACCCACCAGTGGAAATAGTTTCTCCTCATTCACCCTATTGAATCCCTTCATAATTTTGACCTGGCGACTCCCTACCAACCTGCCTGCTCCCTCCGTTCAGCGGGCTCTGGCCTGCTCCATGTCTCCCGCCCGACCCGCCCTACCATCAGTAGCCGAGTTTTCAACCTCTCTGCCCCCACACTCTGGAACTCCATCCCACAGTCCCTTCACCTCGCTTCCTCCCTTGCCTCCTTCAAGTCTCCTCTTAACCTTCTCTGCTCCAAGGAGAATAATCCTAGCTTCTCTCATCTCTCTCTATAACTGAAGTCCCTCGTTCCTGGTACTATCCTGGTAAATCTCCTTTGCCACGGTCTCCAAAGCCTTGACATCTTTCCTGAAGTGTGATGAACTGAACACAGTCTCTAGCTGAGGCCTAACCAGGTTCATCATAACTTCCTGACTTTTGTATTCTATACCCCTACTTATAAAGCCTAGTAACCTGTATGCTTTTTTAACAGCTTCATCTACATGTGTTGCCACCTTCAAAGATATATGAACCCCCAGGTCTCTCTGTTCTTTCACTGGTTTTAAAATTGTACCATCTAGCTTATATTGCGTCTCTTTATTCTTCCTCCTAAAATGCATCACTTCACATTTCTCCACATCAAACGTCATCTGCCACGTGTCTGCCCATTTTACCTGTTTATCGATGTTCTTTTGCAGTCTACTACTATCCTCCTCACTGTTTACTACTCTTCCTAGTTTAATATCATCTGCAAACGTGGAAATTGTACTCCCTATTCCCAAATCCGGGTCATTTATATAGATCAAAAACAGCAGTGGTCCCAATACTGACCCCTGGGGGACACCACTGCACACATCCCTCCAATCAGAAAAACAACCGTTCACCACCACTCTCTGTTTTCTGTATCCCAGTCAGTTCTGTATCCATGCTGCCACTGTCCATTTAATACCGTGAGCTTCTATTTTGCTTAAAATTGGCGACATTGAAGGCTGTTTGACTCTATTCAGAGACAGAGAATCGAATTCAAGATCCTAGTCCTCACTTTCAAGGCCATCCATGGTCTTGCCCCCTCCTACGTCTCTGACCTGCTGACTCCCTACCAACCTGCCCGCTCCCTCCGTTCAGAGGGCTCTGGCCTGCTCCATGTCTCCTGCCTGACCCGCCCTACCATCGGTAGCCGATCTTTCAACCTCTTTGCCCCACACTCTGGAACTCCATCCCACGGTCCCTTTGCCTCGCTTCCTCCCTTGCCTCCTTCAAGGCCTGTCTCAAGACACTCCTCTTCGATTGTGCTTTCTGTCAGCTTCCCACCTCTCTGCCTTCCCTTACCACTACCCCACCCCTCCCCCATCCTCGGGTCCTGAACCCTGACTGTCCAGTGCCTTGGGACATCCACCCGACATGAAAGGTGCTCCATAAATGTAATTTTGTTGTTGTTGTTGCTTTCAAGTCTCTAATGTGGCACTTTATCAAACGCCTTTTGAAAATCCATATAAACTACATCAACTGCATTACCTCAGCCACCCTCTCCGTTACTTCATCAAAAAACTCTATCAGGTTTGTTAGAAATGATTTGCCTTTAATAAATCCATGCTGGCTGAACTTTATTACTCCATATTTTTAATTCTGTCATGGATTATAGTCTCTAGAAGTCTCTCAACTACTGACATTAGGCTGACTGGCCTGTACTTCCTGGGTTTATCCTTCTGCCCCTTTTTCTATATTAATAGTAATATTTGCAACCCTCCAGTCCTCTGTGGTGTCCAAGAAGGATTAAAAGATTGTGGCCAGATACTCCACTATTTCCACCCTTACTTCCCTCAGTAACCTAGGATGCATCCTTTCTGAACTGGGTGACTTACTTACCTTGAGCACCAACAAACTTTTTAGTACCTCCTCTCTGTTTATTCTTATCCTATCCAATTTCTCTACCTTCTCCTCTGATACTGTGCAGTGGCTGCATCCTCTTCTTTTGTGAAGACAGATGCAAAGTACTCATTCAGTACGTGAGCCATGCCCTCTACCTCTTCTTTGGTCCCTAATTGGCCCCTCCCTACCTTTGATTAACCTTTAATTATTCACATGCTTATAAAATACCTTATGTTTATGTTACCCGCTAAGCTTTTCTCATACAATCTCTTTGCCCCTCTTATTTCCTTTCTTAGTTCTCCTCTGTACTTTCTTTATTCTATTTGATTATCTGCTGTATTTTGGACATGACATTTATCCTTTTTGTGTTTTATTTTAATCCCAATTTCCTTAGTCATCCAGGGAGTTTTGGATGCCCTACCTTTCCTCTTTGTGGGAATGCATTTGTTCTGTCCCCAAATTATTTCCTCCTTAAAGGCTTCCCATTGCTCGTTAGTTGTTTTTCCTGAGTCTTTCTTTCCAGTCCACCTCGTCTAGGTCCCTTTTTAACTAATTGAAATGAGCCCTCTTCCAGTTGAGTATCTTTACCTGTGCAGCTTCCCGTGAGTTTCTGGATAACCAGAGCCAGGCTGATCCTCTCTTCACTAACCTAGCGAAAGTGAGGCTAACTGTATTCCTGGCTAAGATCAGCCAACTCAGGACTGATTAAGATTTGAATGTGCAACCCTCTGGAGTGGAATTGAAAGTTTTTTTTGTGTTGCACATTCTCTTATATTTTTAAACACCAGGGTCTGAATGACTTAGGCAAAATGCTTGTCAACATGCAACCTTCTTCCTTCATCATTTTGTGACATATCTATCATTCAAAACTGCTTGAAGAATTGACTCTCCATCAGTGTCTGACTCTGGATTCTGTGGAAACATTCTGACTTTTATTGTTTAGTCGATTCACAACAGCAAAAGCAACAATTGCACATGTAAGATTACATGGTTATATAATAATCCTTGCATTAGATTTAGGGCCTTATCAAGTCATCAGGACTTCTCAAAGCACTTCACAGAATATACTGTAAAATGATTAATTGTACATTTTGTGGGTGAAACCTATCAGCCAATCACACATAGCAGTGTCCCACAAGCAGTCGTAGATTGAGTGACCAACATTTTTTTGGGAGGGATAGTTGTTTATACGTAGTCATTTAGGGCTTAATTTTTGGCTGCCATACCTTTCTCAATGGTTAGGGAAGTTCTGTACAATCCTGCAAAGGAGACAAACAACATAATTAATTACTGGACTGCACTGCCAGACAAGGATGCAAACTGCTTTTGGCTTTAGTGTTAGTTTATCTTTTGGCAGCTCCCATGGGGAGCATGCAGAATCCAGCACTTTAGGGATATCTCTGAATGCTTTTGAAGCAAAAGCACTGCATTGTTTACTTTCTCGTACTATTGGCAAAGTCAAGGTTGCTGTTAGAGTGAAGGCTGCTATTCAGATCAATACTACAAAAATAAGTGCATAAAAGAACTTAATTTAATACAGAAACGAAAAAAAAATCAAATCAACAATGAAATTAATGACCTATTTTTACCTGGCGATTGAATAAGTACCATGGAATCTTTAGTATCCACCCGAACAGGCAAATGCGACCTTAGATTAATATCTTATCTGAAGAACCGTATCTCCAACAATCCAGCAACCCTCAACATTGTATTGCATTTCATCTTAGACTATATGAGTTTTATTATTATTATTTTAGTATTTCAAGTCCTGACATGGAGTTTGATCCCACAACCTTCTGACACAGAGATGAGAGCGCTATTAGATGAGCCAGGCTGACACAATCAATGAGTGGATGGTGACCTACCTTGTAATGCTCTCCCATGCCTCATAGGAGTGGCATCCTGAATAAACAACAGTGTACATTTACATCAGTGGTCGCCAATCCCTTTGGTTGGCCAACAAAATAAATGTTTCTTGATTTATGGCATAAATCTATGCTGTTTATTTCTATGATTATTTTGTTGCCCAACCCAAAAGTTGCCACCACTGATTTACAAACAGCCCTTCACACAGAATGTTTCAAAACCCTTTATAGACACAGAGGTAGAGCCCAAGCAAGGTGGAAGATGGTCAATAATAATAATTATAATCCTTGCATTTGACACAGCACCTTATCATGTCGTTGAGGCTTCTTAAAGTGCTTCACAGGATATACTGTAAAATGGAGTGTGTGTATTTTGTGGGCGAAACAACAACAACAACAACTGGGATTTATATAGCGCCCTCTACGCCAGACGGCATCTCAGGGCCAAGCCAGGGGGAGGGGAGGAAGGTAACCAAAGGCGCGGTCAAAAAGAAATGTCTTCAGCAGAGACCTGAAAATAGGAAAGAGGGAGCGAGACGAAGGGAGTGAGGAAGGGAGTTCCAGAACCTTGGGGCATAGTGGACAGGAAAGAGGGACTGGTTGATGACGTCAACCAGTAGTGGGCAGAGAAGGGAGAGCTGGATAACCAGCAAGTTGGTGGGAAGGGTTCGAGGTAGCAGGTGGTGGCTTTCATGGAGATGATGGTGGGTGAGAAGGAGGAGGGAGAGATGGGGAGGAAGAAATATAGGATGGGGGTGGTGGTAGGAGCAAATGATGGAGAGGGTGAGGGGGACAGAGAGGGCTTGGTGGTGGGTGACAAGAGGCAGGTGGATGAGGCTCCCTGGCGGATGTTATGTATTTTAGATGAAAAGAAGTCCATGACCTCCTCGCACTTGGCATTTGATATGAAGATTGAGGAGGTCTGAGGGGGTCACGGAGGAAGTAGTGTGTGGTGGAAAAAAGGATTTTGGGGTTGTGTTTAGCCTCCAAGATGATGTTGGAGTAGAAGGCCGTTTTTGCCCATGTCAAAGAATGACGGTAGCTGTGGAGATGGTTGAGCCACAGTTGGTGGTGAACTGTCAGGCCAGGTTTTCGCCATCTGCGCAAGCAGCCGAGTTTGTTTTTTTGGTGGTGGATATGGTTGTTGTATTAGGGGGATCGGGTGCGTTTGGAGATGGTCCTGGGTTTTAGGGAGACGAGAGAGTTGAAGGCGGAGAAGTGATCATGGAGCAGCTGGATGGCTAATTCAGGATCTCTGCGGGTGGAGGGCCAGAGGGATAGGATATTTGATGATGTGAGGGCTTTTGTGAGGGTCTCAGGGGGTAGCCTTTTCCAAGGGTGGTAGAGGACGGTTGAGGACTTGGTGGAGGAGAGAGGGATGTGAGAGGAGAAGAAGATGAGGAAGTGGTCCGAGATGGCCTTGTCCACTATGCTGAGGTCGGAAATGTCGAGGCCATGGGTGATAACAAGGTCAAAGGCATGATCATGGTTGTGGGTAGGTGAATTTATATGAAGGATGAGGTATAGGGAGGAGAGGAGGGCAGTGAAGTCAGCAGAAATAGTGCAAGGGGAGTTTCGGTGAAGGTTGAAATCGCCCATTTTGAGCAGGCGTTCGGAGCAGAGGGACAAGAAAGAGAGGAGAGTAGAGATGTCTGTGTGGAAGGAGCCGGGGGGCTTATGGGGGCGGTACACAAGGAGGATTTTCAATGGGAGGAGAGGGGTGAGATGCTCGAAGGAGGGGAAGCAGCCAGAGGAGTAGGGGGTAAGACTAAGAGAGGCTTTGGAAATGAGGGCCACGCCGCCACCACGTTGGTTTGGAAGGTGTAGCCTGGAGGGGAGACTTCCACTAGGGGGACGGGGTCATTGGGGGAGAGCCAGGTTTCGGTGAGCCCAAGAATGTCAAGGTGCTCGTCCAGGATGAGGTCGTGGATGGTGAGGGATTTGTTTGAGAGGGAATGGACATTTTGGAGGGAAATACGGGTGAGTTTGCTGGAGGGAGGGGAGGGAGGAGAGAGAGGAGAGAGTGATACGGAGAGGATTTTGGGATGTACAGGAGATGGTTGTAGAGAGTGGTGTGAGTGGAGAGTTGGGGAGGGTATGTATGAGGGAGGGCAATTTGGGTTTGCCTTAAGGAGGCGGTTTGAGCGGAGGCAATGAATGATTGGACACGTGGGGTTGCTGCTCTGGGACAGCCAGTGCCGGGAGCCATGATGGGCCCGGCGGAGGATGCCCAGGATGGAGCAAAGAGAAGTGGTGATGGGGTCAAGGAGAGAGAGGTGGTGAGGGCGGTGGGAAGGACAGAGGGGAGTGGCGGATAGAAGGGGTGGGAGGAGAGACTTTTAGAGTGGAGTAGGAGAGGGAGGCTCGGGAGCCAAAACGCGCACGCAGAGACCGGGAGCAAGCGATCAGCGGGACGGCATCAGCCCGCAGGCTGTGTGGTCATGGCTGGGATGGGAGTGGCAGCGGTTGCCAGGCCGTCGTTGTTGTTGTTGTTGGTTTTTTAACTATGACGTCACGCCGATGTCACTTTGTGAATCGTGCCACTCCGTCACTTCCCTCCCCCCCGCGCTCTCCTGACTCCCCTCCCGCCTGAGTGGCTCAGTCACAGAAACACAGCAGCTAAAGGCACAGTCTTAAGAACTACTAATATTCAGGAGCAGGTCATATTGTACTTTCTTGATAGATGGAAAGAATGAACAAAGAGGAAGGAGATGTGCTTACATATGCCAAGGTAGATGCTGGTGCTATTGGTTGTAGTTCAGCTGTAGAGGCAGGTGAAAAAATGTTGCTGTTTTGGAGCACAGTTGTCTGGATAGTGGAAGGCCTAAGACCTGACAACCTGGCAGAGAACCAGCAGCTTAAACAAAGAAGCAAGATTTTAAAAAGGTGTTTTTGAGTAACATGCATTTACTTATTTCCACACTGCAGTGTCAACTTTATTAAAAAAATCTATATGAAACTATTTAATTGTGTAGTGAGACAGTGATACTTTATTTTGTTATATTTTTCTCACTTATCTTATAATAATACTTGCATTTTATATAGTGCCTTATCATGTCTTTGAGACGTCTCAAAGTGCTTCACAGACTATACTGTAAAGTGTACTGGCTGTGTATTTTGTAGGAGAAACTTGACTGCCTTACATCTTCAGCAAATGAAATGTAAGGCAACCCACGAATAAGTTTTGTAGATCCCTGAGATGTTGAACCCACAACAGTAATAAGAAACTGGTTGCAAACTGCAGATTTGTTACTCAGGTAATGCTTTTGTTTTCCCTTTTGAGCAGCATTAATAGTATACAGGGCTCTGTCCTCGGTCCCCTGCTCTTCGAACTCCACATGCTCCCCTTTGGTGATATCATCCGCAGACATGGGGTCAACTTCCACATGTTTCCAACTCTATCTTTCTGCCTCCACCCTCGATTCCAGGACAATTGATATCCTGACAGACTATCCGCCTGACCTCAAGTCATGGATGAGAGCCAACTTTCTATAGCTGAATGTCAGCCAGACTGAGGCCCTCCTGATTGGCTTGTGCTTGCACCTCAGCACCTCAGGCACTGGCAGTATCAGCATCCACAGATGCGCACTCCACTTCACCAAACCAGTCAGGAACCTAGGCCTCTTGTTCAACCCTCAACTGTCCTTTCTCCCCCCTATCTGTGCTATGACCTTCTCTGCCTTCCCCCACCTCCACAACTTTGCCCGACTCCGCCACTGCCTCATTCCTTAGGCCGCCGATACCCTCAAACACGTATTCGTCACCTCAAGGCTCGACTCCTTGTAATCCTCCCCACGCTTCCCTCCACAAGCTGCAGATCATCCTGAACTCTGCAGCTCGTGTCCTCTCCCGCGCCCGGCTTTGTGACCCCATCACCCCCACCCTCCACTGGCTTCACTGGCTCCCCGACCCTCAGAGGATAGAATTCAAAATCTTCATCCTCACTTTCAAGGCCCTCCAAGGCCTTGCCCCTTCCTACCTCTCTGACCTGCTGACCCCCTATCAACCTGTCCGCTCCCTCCGTTCAGCAGGCTCTGACCTGCTCCATGTCTCCCACCCGACCCGCCCTACCATCGGCGGCCAGGCTTTCAGCTTTTCTGCCCCCACTCATTGGAACTCCATCCACAGTCACTTCGCCTTGCTCCCTCTCTTGCCTCCTTCAAGGTATGACTCAAGACCCTCCTTTTTGACCATGCTTTCAGCCGCCGTGAAAAGCGCTTCACAAATGTAAGTTTGTCGTCGTTGTTGTTGAATGTTAGTATTATTACGTATGTGAATTTTTCCTCAGTAAAAAGTGATTTTACTGATGAAACCTTGCATCTCTGCTAAATGCTAATGTTGGTCTTTGATCCATCATTCTTGTTACAGGCTTTCTATGATAATGCCACCCTAAACTGGAACACAACGTCTATAGGTCTCCTAAAATGGACAGATGAATAAAGGCATCAACCAGTGGAGCACTATCAAAAGTTCAAATCTGTTCTGAATTATCTAATCTCAGCTGGGAAATTGGTGATACTTGGTGGGTGGGATTTCCTGTCACCTCAAGGGAATAATCCATTCACTTTACACATCCATCTTAAAGACTTGAATTTTAAATTTTTTTTTAAATAATTCTTATATTTGGTTTGTTTTTCAAGTTTAGCACTGACACATGCCATTCTTTAACCTAACTTAATTCACTGCAAGCCTTCTGTGATGCTCCCAGGTTTCAATGGAGCAGCAAAGGGAGATGCAGGGAGACAAAGACAAGCAAAGCCTCCAACAGCCAAAATGTAATTGAGTCTTAGCCTATAAGACTGTTTTAACTTAAAATTTAAGGTCTTGCAATCTTAATTTGGAAGCTAGTTTTCAGCAGTTCTTATAAACAGACTTCTTCCAAATGAGGACTGAATTCAATAATTTTCCACTATTTTGGAAAATTTTATATTTTATGATAAAATGGTGTAATTATGGACCTCTTGAATGCTGGCTCCAATTGGGAATTCAGCCAATTTATGGCAAGCTTTAAACCAATGCTGCAACAGCAAAAACAACAAAAAGAAGTTACATTTGTATAGGGCCTTTCACGTCGGGAGGACGTCCCAAGGTGCTGGACAGTGTACAACATTTCAGCCTAAGCTGGGGTCAGGGAGGGAGAAGGGAGGGGAGGGGAAGTGGTGTGGCCGATGGCATGGTCAAAGAGGAGGGTCTTGAGGCAAAACTTGAAGGAGGCTAAGGAGGGGGCGAGGCAGAGTGATTGGGCGATGAAATTCCAGAGGTTGGGGGCAGAGAGGCTGAAGGCTCTCCCGCCAATGGTGGGTCGGGGGATGTGGAGCAGGCTGGAGCTGGCTGAGCGGAGGGAGCGAGTGGGTTGGTAGGGGGTTAGGAGGTCGCAGAGGTAGGATAGGACGAGGCCATGGAGGGATTGTAGTTGAGGACCAGAATCTTGAATTGGACCTCTAAAGGATAGGGAGCCAATGGAATCGGGTGAGAGTGGGGGAGATGGGGTCATGGAGTTTGGTGCGGGAGAGGACACGGGCTGCAGAGTTCTGGATTATCTGCAGCCTGTGAAGGGAGGAGTTGGGAAGGCCGACAAACAGGATGTTTGCATAGTCGAGCCTGGAGGTGATGAAGGCATGAACAAGAGTTTCAGCGGCCTGAGGGGTGAGGTAGTGGCGGAGTCGGGCAATGTTACGGAACAGTGTGTGCAACTTCCACATACTGGGCTATCTGTTCAGAGGACTACTTAAATTGGGTCTTAACCTGGAATACTTTTAGGATTAAATTTTTTCCCATGAAATATGTTTGCAGGTTTCAAAATACAAGTCAAAAGATGCACTGTGTGAGGGATTCAACACATAGTCTTCCCAACTATTATAACATTCAACTTTAAAAAATATTGACTTTGTTTTTTTCCCCTACAACGGCTTATTTTAGACAGGCCTTTGTTGAGTGCATGTCCCCTCTGAAAATATGTTTTGGTGCACTGTGTGAGGGATTCTAGTTATTTAGTTACCAAGACAAGGTAAAGTGTCTGTAATCTTCCGAAAACCTTTACGGAGGGTTCCAAGTCAATTGCTGAATGATATAAAGTAGGATGTGTAAGTAGTGCAGAACTTCTAAGAGTGGGAGTGTACTTAAACCATTGTTGACTAAGATTGTGAAGGGTTATTATAGGGTAAATGGTAATAGATTATTTGCTCTGGTCAGTGGTGCAGTAACAAGAGGCCATAAATTTAAAATAGTCACAAAATGAATTAAAAGGGAGATAATAAAGACGTTTTTTACAAAAGAATGTTTGGAATATGGACATCTCTACCCAAACTCTTGTTGAAGCAGAGCCCAACATTTCCATTAAAATGGAATTCAATGTTTAAAAAAGAATTTTGGAATTTTTAGCTAAGCATAATGTTGGGCCCTACAGCCGATTGTGTCAAAAAATAATCAGTGTTTTAAACCAGGTTTTACTGTAGGACTTCATTCTTTACAGACTAGCTCAGTCAGTCTCTCTTGTCTCTGGTTCAAGCCCAATGTCAGACTTGGAACGCCTATGGAATTGGAACCATCTGAATATAAGCCAGAAAAATTATCAAGTTCAAGCTTCCAACCCAATATCAGAATATAGCGTGTATGGATTCCTCATGCCACAGACATACCAATTAATTGACTGTGTTTGCTGTATCATCTCCGGGAGAGGGTGGTCTCGGGTTTCTGGTAGCATTAAGCTAAACATTCCAGCTGTTAACATCAGGGTGCCCATCAGCATGAAGGGCAACACTTCATCATACATTACTAAAAGTAAGAAAGAGACAACAAAATGCAACATACAGAAAATCTGCTTTCTGATATACATTATTCACAAATAAATGAATGCAAGCATTATATACGATTATTCTAAATTCAAAACAATACATTACTTCATTTTTGATCAGCTGGGTGTCTGGCACATACAATACTTATAATATCCACCCACCCATAATTTGTCCTCATTAAGGTGAAACATGTCTCCGAGTATCAACAAAAAGCATTCCCTGCTCATGTGCTGAGCCGCTCCTATTTGTCTTAATTCATTTCAGAGGTTGTGTTGCAGTGTTCAAACTGAACATGGGGTTCACATAATTAAAAATTTGGTTTCAGTGTTCAGGACTGAGACATATTTTATTTTGAGACATGAATTCAGCAAAATTTGTGCAATTAACCATCAATGGAGTTTCAAAAATGCCCACCAAGGAAAACAGCAGGGTGAATTGTACCATGGGATACAAGGTGCATCTCCTGCAGAGAACCCCATGTACATCTTACCAAAATGTAAGAACTTGCCTTTGCCCTCAGATCTATCAGAGACAGATAAGAGTCCATGTGATGTTCTCTAGAGGAGACTCACTTTCCATGAAACCCACATCTCTTCTGCTCAATATGAATTGAGCCTTCATTTTGGGGGAGGGGCCACAGTCTGTGCCACAGGGGCCAGTGTAAAAGAAGCATAAATAACCTGTTTCATTGTATTTTCTATCTGATTAGTTGGCTTCAACTCAGGTTTTAATCAAACTTCTTAATGGAAATACCATGTAATGCAAATAAAATTTATAAAACAGTTGGATGAAGCTTCAAAATCACCCTTACCAAGATAAGCAAAGTATGGGGCGATCATGCTGCCAATCCTGGATGCCATGGAGCAGGCTCCAAGTCCCATGTTTCTCACCACAGTTGGATAGAGCTCAGCTGAATAAATATAGATTATAGTGAAGGCAGCTGTAACCCCAGATTTGCCAATCATCACAAATATTATGGTCATAATACGAAGAGCTGTGAAATCAAGATTAAAAATGTAATCTGTAATGACAAATGATTATTTGTATTATCAAAATTATTTGTATTTATGTACCGTTACATACTGTTTTGTATATGACTGAAATTCCAGAAATAAAAAATACTGCCCTGAGTTTTCCCCAGTTAAGCTTATTGTAAATCTACAATACAACAATACAAATTTACAATACAAATGTGCATTTATATATTGCCTTTCACATCTATGTCCCTCTCCACAGCACTATTTGGTACTTTGAATCATTCAACTATCAAGGTTCTTGAGAAGCAAAACATTTAATCCTGATTTTGTAGCCATGTTAAGATCAGTCACTGTGTACAATCCCAGTTAGGTTATTTCTATCTCTGGGGATCTCAATATACCAGGTCAGCTTCCAATAAGGCAAGTGATTTATTTGAGAATAATTTTTCACCAGTAAACAGCACATGCACCAATGAATAAAAATAAAATTAGTAGAGGGTATATACAGAACATTATTTAACAATTTATGTTAGCTTTTCTCCTTCCCTGAGGTTGCCAGCAACAAGAGGTGCTGTTAGAATTTGGGGTTGGCGATGGAATTGAGGAACTATAATAATAATAATCTTTGCATTTCATATAGCATCTTATCATTTTGCTGAGACGTCTCAATGCACTTCAAGAATATATTGTAAAGTGGATTGACTGTGCAGTTTGTGTGCCAATTTTCCTGTGAGCATCCCCGATGGGTCTTGGACCTTTTCCGATTTTTCCTATCTTTGCATCTAGGTCAATATTGCAACCCAACTTTTCTTTTAAAAAAACATGATTTAATAAAGTTGAATTCATCTTTCTGTGGGAAAATGCTATGGGCAGATTCCAGTTGCACAATTAAGCTGGGCTGAAATTTAAATAATAATAATTCTTTCATTTGATATAGCACCTTATCACATCAAGATGTCTCACAAAGTGCTTCACAAGACCTTCTATAACGAGTAGTGACTCTGTACTCACATCTAGGCTTGACTATGTCACCTCTGTTCACCGGACTTTCCATCTCTTCCCTCCACAAGCTGCAGATCATTCAGAACTCTGCAGCTTGTGTCCTCTCCTGCACTAGGCTCCACAAACCTATTATTCATATCCTTACCCAACTCCACTTATTCCCCAACCCCCAGCGGATCAAGTTCAAGATCCTCATCCTCACTTTTCAAGACCTCAATGATATTGCCCCATCCCTACCTCTGTGACCTTCAAAACCTACTAACCTACCCATTCCTTCTGTTAGGTGGCACTGGCCTGCTTCTCTCCATACCTGCTCCACTTTTCCCCAGTTGGCTCTTCAACCTTTCTTTTTTTTTGGATTAATAATAATCCCTCCAAAACAAAACAATAATAAATTGGTCATATTCAATCCATGACTGTTTGTGGGACACTGCTGTGCGCAATTGGCTGCCGCCTTTCACCCACAAATATACAGTCAATTCACTTTACAGCATATTCTGTGAAGCTCTTTGAGACGTCTAGAAGACGTGAAAAGTGCTATATCAAATGCAAGGATTATTATCATTATTTCTGCCTCCACCGTCTGGAACTCCATCCCGGAGCCCCTTTGCCTCGCTCCTTCCCTCACCTCTTTAATGCCTGTCTCAAGGGCTTCTTCTTTGGCCACGCATTCATTCATCTTCCCACCCCCACACCTCTTGACTCCAACCCCCAGGTCAGGTGCAAACCCTTGATTATACAGCGCCTTGGGATGTCCTGCTGATGTGAAAGGCACTCTACAAATGCAATTTGTTGTGTATTTATAGGAAATCACAGCAGCCAATTTGCAGACAGCAATGTTCCACAAGCATGCATTGAAGTAAATGACCAATTTTATCTGCGGGATTGTTGGTCAGGACACCGAGTGTAACCCTTGTCTTTTTTTTAATAGTGCCGCATGATTGCTGTCGTCCACCTGAACAAACAAACAGGAAATCGGATTGACATCTCATCTGATGGACAGCATCTCTGACAATGCAGCTTGCCCGCAATGTTTCAGTTTTCTTATGAAAATTGTTAAAGGAACCTGAATAACTTTAATATTGAAGCATACTTTTTTAAAAACTCTTACTTTTAGGAACACATTGGACCAAAAGTAGAACACTACCACTAAGAAAGAGCATGGAAGCTGTGACAATCCGCCGAGGTGTTGTGTGCATAAACCACCAGCACATCACGTAGACCACAATTTCAGTGGCTGCACTGATAAAGCAATTGATGTAGGGGTCTCCATGTAAATTAGCCATGTTGAAAGATAACCCATAATAACCAATGGTTATAATCATCCTGCAAAAAAAAAATACTATTGTTCAAAACTCTTAACATTCAGTAAAATAAAATCACTTGTAGAAAAGGCAAGCAATTTAAAGACATTTTTTAATTACTTTTAGTTGGTGTTAATTTCAAACATACTTTAAAATGTCATTATAAAAAATATACTAATGAAAGGAAGAAACACAAACGAGAATCTCGGTGGTAAGGAGAATGTTTACCAATGCTTTCATCCTGATGTTACTATACTGGTAGAGAGACTTAATGGCAATGATAGAGCTTAGTATTCAAGTTCAGCTCAAATTTCCAACAGACTCCTCTATAGTTCATACTCATGAAGTTAAGTTAAAGTTTGTAAGTTATATCGCTATCTCACCTCCAACACAACCAAAACCCTCAACTATACTGTGTTACTTCCTGATTCAAATCCTCCAATAGCCTGCTTGTCAGTCTCTAACCAGATCCACTGATTCCCTATCCTACTGTGATCAATTAAGATTCTCAATCTCATCATCAAATGCCTCCATGGCCTTGCCACACCCTCTCTCCGGTAATTTTTGCAAAACCACTCTGCACACCCCTTGCACTTCACCAACTTTGGCCCACTCCATCCCACCACATTGGCTAATGTAGGATTGAAATCTGAAAATCTTGCATTTCACGTACAATAATGTCTCAGTGGGCTGTATAGTAGCAGGGTTGGATGCTGAACAAGGGAGAATAGGGTTGACCATAGACATGATCAAAGAGGTTGCTGTTTAGCAGCATTTAAAGATAGATAAAGAGCAACAAGGAAGAGGGATTGAGGCTTGGAGTTCCAGAGAGTAAGGGAATAGTGGCTGAAGGCTCGGACAACCGTTGGTGGCATGGAGAGACAGAGACGTGCAGCAGGTTTGTATTAGCTGAGCGAAGGAGGCAGGCTGAGGAGTGGAGTACAAGCAGGTCAGAGAGATCGTGAGGTATTGGGGCATAAAGCAATTTGTATGTGAAGGTGAGGATCTGACGATGATCTGTTCAGAGTCTGGGAAGCCTAGCGAGGATTGGATTGATGAGTGTGCAGTTGAAGATAATAAATAAGTTTCTTTTATTATCAACTGCACCTTGTGGGTGGTGGACAATAACAACAATAACATTACATTTGTCTAGAGCCCTTCACGTCGGGAGGACATCCCAAAGTCCTGTGACAGCCAGTGTTTCAGATCCGAGTTGGGGTTCAGGATTGGGGAGAGTGGAGGGTGAGGAAGAAGGAGGGTGATCAAAATCACGGTCGGAAAGAATGGTCTTGAGATGGTTCTTGAAGGAGGCAAGGGAGGGGGCGAAGTGAAGGGACAGCAGGATGGAGTTCAATAGAGTGGGGGCGGAGTGGCTGAAGGCTCACCTGCCAATGGTGGGGCGAGTGAGATGGGGGACGTGAAGCAGGGGAGGATTGGGGTGATAGGCTCACGGAACCTGGTGTGGAAGAGGACATGGGCTGCAGATTTCTGGATAATCTGCAGCCTATGGGGGGAGGAGCTGGGGAAGCCGACAAGTAGGGAGTTTGCAAAGTTAAGCCTGGATGTTATGAATGTATGTATGAGGGTTTTGGCCTCCTGCGGTATGAGACAGTAATGGAGCCGGGTGATGTTGTGGAGGTGGGGGAAGGCAGAGCAGGTTATGACATGGATTTGGGGTAGAAAGGATAGTTGAGGGTCAGACAAGATGCCCAAGGTTCCGGACTGGCTTAGTAAGGTGTGGAGTTGCTAACAGGAACCAATCAGGAGGGTCTCCCTGGTCCTGTTCATTGAGAACTGCTGCCGTGACATCGGCCGTGTCCATTTCTCCACTCCCCTCTCCCACTCAAATCTTTCTCCTTCTGAACGTGCTGCACTCCACTCTCTCAGGACTAATCCTGACATCATTGACAAACCCGCTAACAAGGAAGACACTTTCGTCATCTGGCGAAAGGACCTCTACCTGGCAGAGGCTGAACACCAACTCTCTTGACAACTCCTCCTACCTCCCCCTGGACGATGATCCAACAACTGAACACCAAGCCATCATCACCGAGACAGTCAATGATCTCATCTCCTCTGGGGAGCTTCCTCCCACCCTCCAACCTCATAGCCCCACAACCCTGCATGGACAATCTCTACCTCCTCCCCAAGATCCACAAACGGGGGGACCTATTGGGTCAACCTGTTCCTGCCCCACCAAACTGATCCTCCTCATATCTGGACTCCATTTTTGCTCCTCTTGTCCGGGTCCTACCAACCTACATCCATGACTCTTCTGACGCCCTCCACCACTTCAACAATTTCCAGTTCCCTGGCCCTGACCGTCTTCTATTTACAATGACCGTTCAATTCCTCTACACCTTCATCCCCCACAAGCAAAACCTGCAGGCCCTCCACTTCAACCTCGAACAGTGGCCCAACCAGTCTCCATCCACCACTACCCTCCTCCACCTGGCTGAATTTGACATTCACCTTCAACCACTTCCTACAAGTAAAAGGTGTCACTATAGGAACCCACAGGGGTCCCAGCTACACCTTCTTGTTTATTGGCCACCTGGAACACTCTTTGTTCTGGGCCTACTCAGGTCCGCTCCCTGACCTGTTCCTCAGATACATTGACAACTGTGTTGGGGCTGCTTCCTGCTCTCGCAGTGAGCTGGAAAAATTCACCAATTTCGCTTTCACCTTCCACCCCTCCATAACATTCACATGCTCTGACTCTTCCCTTCCCTTCCTTGAGTTCACCATTTCCATCTCGGGGCACAGATTATCTTCAGATATCTTTTACAAGCCCTCCAACTCCCACAGTTACCTGGACTACACCTTCTCTAACCCCGCCTCCTGTAAAGACTCCATTCCCTTTTCCCAGTTCCTCTGCCTCTGCCACATCTGCTGACGAGGCCACCTTTCACACCAGAGTAACTGAAATGTCCTCCTTTTTCCTCGACCGTGGATTCCCATCCACTGTAGTAGGCAGGGCCCTTGATGGTTTCTGTCCTATTTCCCGCATCTCTGCTCTCATCCCTTTCCCGTTTCTGCCCTATTTCCCGCATTTCTGCCCTCATGGCTTCCCCCTCTTCCCAGAACTGTGTTGCAGTCCCCTTAGTTCTCACTTTCCACCCACCAGCCTCAACATCCAACAAATAATTCTCTGCCATTTCCGGCACCTCCAGCATGATCCAACCACCAAACATATCTTTCCCTCCCCTCCCATCTCAGCATTCTGAAGGGACTATTCCCTCCGTGACTCCCTGGTTCATTCCTTCATCGCAACCAACAATTCCTCTCCTCCCCCCAGCACCTTCCCATGCCAGCTCAGGAAATGCAATATCTGTCCTTTCACCTCCTCCCATACCACCATCCAAGGCCTCAAACACAGTTATCAAGTAAGACAGCGATTTCCGTGTACTACCACCAAAGTATTTTACTGCATTCGCTGCTCACAATTTGGTCTCCTCTACACTGGGGAGACCAAATACAGATTGGGTGATCGATTTGCCGAACACCTCTGTTCTGTCCGGAAGCACAACCCTGAACTTCCGGTTTCTTGCCACTTCAACTTTCCCTCCCACTCGCACTCTGACCTCTACATCCATGGTCTCCTACGTTGTTCCAATGAGCCACAGTGCAAACTTGAGGAACAGCACCTCATTTATCTGCTTGGTACCGTACAGCCCTCTGGACTCGATATTGATTTCAATAATTTCAGACCATAACACCACACATTCTCCCTCCCCCTCTTCTGTGACCATTACCACATCATCTGGGTCCCAGGCACACCTTTTCTCTCTCTGGTCTGCCTGAATCAACGTGCGTAAAACTGAGGCCCTCCTGATTGGCTCACGTCAGTGCCTCTGCACCTCTGGCGCTGACAGCATCAGCATCCAAGGCTGCACTCTCCACCTCTCAAAGCCGTCAGGAACCTCAGTGTTGTGTTCGACCCTGAGCTGTCCTTTCTCCCTCATATCCGCACCACAACGGGCACCGCCTTCCATCACCTCCAGAACATCGCCAGACTACGGCACTACCTCACCCCTCACGCTGCTGAAACTCTGGTCCACGCCTTTATCACCTCAAGGCTGGACTATGGGAACTCTCTCCTCGTCGGCCTTCCCGGCACCTCCCTCCACAATGCAGGTCATTCAGAACTCTGCAGCTTGTGTACTGTCCCGCACCAGGCTTCGGGACCACATCACTCCCACCCTCGCTCGCCTCCACTGGCTCCCCATCCCCCAGAGGATCGAATTCAAGATCCTCATCCTCACCTACAAGGCCATTCACGGCCTTGCTCCCTCCTACCTCTCCGACCTACTATCCCCCTACATACCTGTCCATACCCTCCGTTCCTCTGGCTCCGGTCTGCTCCACATCCCCCGCCCCAACCGCCCTACCATTGGTGGCCGGGCCTTCAGCCTCTCAGCCCCGAGGCTCTGGAACTCTATCCCCAGTGCCTTCGCTTTGCTTCTTCCCTTTCCTCCTTCAATGCCGGTCTCAAGACCTTTCTCTTTGACCGTGCCTTCAGCTCCCCTCTCGACTCTCTACCCCCTCCTCGCTCCCTCCCTTCCCTCCCCTCACCCTGACCATTTACCCCCTGCTCGGGTCCTGACCCAACTGTACAGCACCTTGGGACGTCCCCCCGACGTGAAAGGCGCTCTATAAATAGAATCTTGTTGTTGTTGTTCTTGTATTGTTGCAGTTCCCTCCAACCTCCTTTGTTTTGCATTATTAACTCCTCTTTTCCCGTTTTGTTGCAATCCCCCTCTTTGTTTTGCATCATTAACAGTTCTTGAAATCATCATCCCATGTCCTTTACCCCATTTTCTCTTTTGTCTTCCTTGCACTGCCTCCCCCTTCTCTATTAGTCCTTAAAAGCCTCTCCCTCCCAACATGCCCCAGTTCTGACAAAGGGTCGTGGACCCGAGACATTGACTCACTTTTCTTTCTCCATAGATGCTGCCTGACCTGCTGAATGTTCCCAGCGACTTCTGTTTTTGTTTCAGGGGACAGAACCAGAAAGATTGTTGTGGGAGGAGAGGGGGTGGATGAGGATAGAGTTGTCAACAGTATAGAAGGCAGCAGAGTGGTCAAGGAGGATGAGGAGGCAGAGGGAGCCCTGATCACAGATGGACAGAATGTCATTTGTCCAGCGAGGAGTGCATTTGAGAAATCGAGGCATGTGGGGCAATGTGGCAGAGGTGGAGGAAAGCAATCCTGGTCAGGGACTAAGTGTAAATAGGAAGGACAGCTGAGGATTGAATGGATTCTGAGGTTGTGCACTCTTTGGCTATGTTTGGCTATAGGTCAGGGAGGTTGGAGGTCAGAGGCAGAAATGAGGAGCCGAAGAAGAAGGCTTCTGTCTTCTCCATGTTAAGCTACAGAAAGTTGGTACTCATCCAGGCCTTGATGTCTGACAGGCTGTGCATCGCTTTTCAGGATTGATTTGTTTAACTCTGGATCATACACAGATTACGTTTTTAATGTTGCTCAAAAAATTGCACTAAACAATAGGAAGATGCGTGAAATAGTTTGGGAGTTCTTTGTGCCTAAGTTGCGACTCACCATAATAAAAAAGATATCACGGTGATGTTCCTTATGTTGTTCGTTCTAATCAAATCCAAGTAATTGTGCATATCCGTATGTCTAGTTGCAAGATTCTGGAGTTAAAAATTAAACAGAAACCAATTCAATGCCAAAATGACAACAATGTACATAATTAGATAGAATGTACAACACAGAAGCAGCCATTCAGCCCAACTAGTCCAAGCTGGTGCATATATTCCACCCACACCTCACCCTACTAATCCCTCCTCCCTCATGAGTACATCTAGAGTAGAACAAAACAACAACAAAATTACATTTATATAGTGCTTTGCACGTCGGGAGTACGTCCCAAGGTCTTGGACCAACAGAGTTTCAAACCCAAGCTGGGAGTCGGGGTGGGTGGAGGGCAGGGGGGAAGCAGGGTGATCGAAGGCAAAGTTGAAAAGGAGGGTCTTGAGATGGGTCTTGAAGGTGGCAAAGGAGGGGGCGAGGGGAGGGACTGTGGGATGGAGTTCCAGAGGGTGGGGGCAGAGTGACTGAAGGCTAGCCTGCCAATAGTGGGTCGAGAGAGGTGGGTGATATGAAACAGGCTGGAGTCCGCTGAACGGAGGAAGTGAGCAGGATGGTAGGGGGTTAGGATGTCGCAGTAGGGGGGGAGCAAGACTATGGAGGGCTTTGAAGGTGACGACCAAGACCTTGAACTGTATTCTCTGTGTGATGGAAAGTCAGTGGAGTCGGGCAAGGATTGGGGTGATAGGGTCGCAGAGCCTAGTGTGGGAGAGGATGCGGGCTGCAGAGTTCTGGATGATCTGCAGCCTGTGGAGGGAGGAGTTGGGGAGACCGACAAGCAATGAGTTTGCATGTTCAAGCCTCGATGTAATGAATGCATGTATGAGGGTTTCGGCAGCCCTGCGATGTGAGACAGTGGCGGAGCCAAGCGATGTGCGGAGGTGGGGGTTGGCAGAGTGGATCATAGTGCACATGTGGGGTAAAAAGGATAGTTATGGGTCAAACAAGTCGCCAACGCTCCTCACTGACATAGCAAGGTGGAGTGTGCAACCATGGATGTTGATGCTGTCAGCGCTTGACGTGAGGAGGCGCTAATGGGAGCCAATCAGGGGAGACACGGTCTTGTTGACATTCAACTGAAGAAAATTTGTTCTCATTCAGGACTTGAATTCCGACAGACATTCTGTCAGTCCTTGAGTCAAAGGTGGAGGCAGAGAGGTACAGTTGGGTGTCATCTGCATCCATGTGGAAGTTGACCCCATGTCTGCAGATGATGTCACCAAGAGGGAGCATATAGATATTGAACAGGAAGGAACCAAGGACAGAGCCCTGAGGAACACTGCACGAGACGGTGCGAGGGCTAGAGGAGAAATTGTTTGTGGAGATGAAGTGGAGGCGGTGTGAGAGGTACGATCTGAACCAGTCAAGGACAGAGCAGTGAAGATTGAGGTGAGAGGAGAGGCGTGGATGAAGATAGAGTGCTCGATGGTGTCAAAGGCAGCAGAGAGGTCAAGGAGGACGTGGAGACAGAGGGAGCCATGGCTGCAGATGAGCAGAATGTCATTTGCCACTTTGACCAAAGCTGTTTCTGTGCTGTGGGCAGAGGGGTTGGTGAAAGGAATGGCGGGAGAGAAAGGAGCGAAGCTAAGAAGCAACAATTCGTTCCAAGTTCTTGGAGAGGAAAGGGGTTGAATGTGGGTCGGTAGTTTGGGAGTAAAGATGGGTCCAGGGAGGGTTTTTTAAGAATGGGAGTGATAACAGCGTTTTTTAATGGGTTGGAACAGTGCCAGAGGACTTAAAGTTTGAGCCTTTATTTGTGCAAAGCCCAACTGACAGTCAGAGAGTAATTATATTTGTATAAATATCAGAAAAACTGAACTTTCTCCCCCCCCAATTCTATTACAATTGAGGCTAAAATTTGTGACAAGTTATCAACCTCAGTCCAAACTATTCCCCTTCCACTTCATCAACCTCTTTATATGTCAGATTCTTCTGCTATTTCCACAATTGTATCAATTTAGTTCCATGTACTCAATATTTAATCGCACTGAATGGAAGGGTCCTTCTCCACTCCCTCCCCCACCCACCGACTCTAATCTCAAAGGTGAGATTAAGCCCAGCAAATAGCTTGGCAGCTTTCAGAGTTCCGTTTGGGGAATATTTGCTTGTTACTAAACAGGAGAAAATGTTTTCCACAAATTGGTTCTCAAAACTGAGTGCAGGAATGCAGAGGATGACAGGAGCACATGGATAGGTTAGTGCATACCTTTGACACCATGGATCACTCAATCCTCCTCCACCTCCTCTCCTCCCACCTCTAACTTACAGGTTCTGTCCTTGACTGGTTCAGATCCTACCTTTCACACCGTCTCCACTTCGTTTCAGCTAACGGCTTCTCCTCCAGCCCCCGCACCGTCTCCTGCAGTGTTCCTCAGGGCTTTGTCCTCAGTTCCCTCCTCTTCACCTCCCCTTACATGCTCACCCTTGATAACATCATCCGCAGACATGGGGTAAATTTCCACATGTATACGGATGACACCCAACTCTACCTCTCTGCCTCCATCCTGAACTCCAGGACTACTAGCATCCTGACTGACTGACTGCCTCTCCGACAGCAAGTCCTGGACAAGGGCCAACTTTCTCCAACTCAACATCAGCAAGACTGAGACCCTCCTGATTGGCTTGCTCCAGCGCCTCTGCACCTCAGGCGCTGGAAGCATCAGCCTCCACGGCTGTACACTCAACCTCACTAAGCCAGTCAGGAACCTGGGTATCTTGTTTGACCCTGAACTGTCCTTTCTCCCTCACATTCGCGCCATGACCGGCACTGCCTACCACCACCTCCTCAACATTGCCAGACTCCGCCACTGCCTCACCCCTCAGGCTGCCTAAACCCTCACCCACGCATTCGTCACATCAAGGCTTGATTACGGGAACTCCCTCCTCATCGGCCTTCCCAACTCTTCCCTTCACGAGCTGTAGATCGTGTACTCTCACACACCAGGCTCCATGACCCCATCACTTCCACCCTTGCCTGACTCCACTGGCTCCCCATCCCCCAGAGGATCGAGCCCAAGTTCCTCGTCCTCACCTTTAAGGCCATCCATGGCCTTATCCCCTCCTACCTCTCTGACCTGCTGACTCTCTACCAACCTGCCCACTCCCTTCGTTCAGCGGGCTCCGGCCTGCTCCATGTCTCCCGCCCGACCCGCCCTACCATCGGTGGCCGGACTTTCAACCTCTCTGCCCCCACACTCTGGAACTTCATCCCACAGTCCCTTCACCTCGCTTCCTCCCTTGCTTCCTTCAAGGCTGGTCTCAAGACCCTTCTTTTCAATCGTGCCTTTGGTCTCTCTCCCACCTCTCTGCCTTCCCTCACCCTACACCACCCCTCCCCCATGCTCGGGCCCCGACACCTGACTGTTCAGCGCTTTGGGACCTCCTCCCAACGTGAAAGTCACTCTATTAATGTAATTTTGTTGTTGTTGTTATGATAGTATGTCACAGAGGCAGGGTGTAGCAAGACCATGCCAGGCTTTCAAGGTGAAAATGATTAATTACTCCGTGGGTTGCGCCATCATTATTCTCAAATCTCATCCCAGTGCATTTAATGTCATTTTGCTTAGCAGCAGCTTTCACTATCGCCTCCACTTCTTCCACTTGACCCTGGGAGAGCAGCCACCTGGGAGACTCGGGTATAAACCTGTAGTGAAAAATACAACAAAGGAACTGTGTTTCACACTGTCTTTTTACCTGTGGAACTAAGTTGCAAACAAGCCCACATTGATGCGATGAAAATCTGTTTTATTTGCTGTAAGGGTTATTAGTTTAGGCATTCTCTGAATTGTGGAAGACACAAGTATAGAGTGATACAGGACATTTGGCCCAACTTGCCGTGTTGATGTTTATACTTCAGAAAGTCCCTGTCTCTCCTATTTCTTTCATCTATACTTCTCTGTTCCCTTCTCCCTCATCTAAGTATCAAGTTTTCTCTTAAATACATTGATATTATTTTCTTCAACCAGAGCTTCAACAACGAGTTCCACATTGACACTAACACTGATGTTCAATTTTGTAACAAACAACAACAAAATTATATCAGCATCTTTCACATCGGGAGGACATCCCAAGGGGCTGAAATGCTGGAGAGATCAGGTCCGAGTGTGGGAGGCAGGATCCGAGCATGGGTGGCAGGGTTGGGATGAGGGAGGGCAGAGATGCAGGAGGGCAGCTGAAAGCATGGTCATAAAGCAGGATCTTGAGTCGTATCTTGAAGGAGGCAAGAGAGGGAGCAAGGCAAAGGGATTGTGTGATGGAGTTCCAGAGAATAGGGGCAGAGATGCTGAAAGCCCAGCCGCAGATGGTAGGGTGGATCAGGCGGGAGACATGGAGCAGGCCGGAGCCTGCTGAGCGGAGGGAGCAGACAGGATGATAGGGGGTCAACCAGTCAGAGAGATAGGAAGGGGCAAGGCCGTGGAGAGCCTTGAAAATGAGGACAAGGATTTTGAATTCCATCCTCTGAGGGATGGGGAGCCAGTGGAGCCAGGTGAGGGTGGGGATGATGGGGTCACGGAGCCTGGTGCAGGAGAGCACATGAGCTGCAGAGTTCTGGATGATCTGTAGCTTGTGGAGGGAAGAGTTGGGGAAGCCGACAACGAGGGAGTTTCCTCGAGCCTTGAGGTGACGAATGCATTCCTGAGGGTTGAGGCTGTGGTAGAATTGGGCAATGATGTGGAGGTGCGGGAAGGCATAGCGGCTCATGCCACTGTATAAATCATTGGTTAAACCATATTTAGATTACTGTGTACAGTTCTGGTCGCCACAGTACAAAAAGCATATTGGAGAAATCAAGAAGATTCAGAGGAGGGCAACCAAAATGATTAAGGGAATGGAAGGACTGGACTATGAGGAGCAACTAAGTAAATTGGCCATGTTCACATTGGAAAAGAGAAGATTGAGAGACATGATTGCAGTCTTCTTGAACTCCATCTCGCAGACCTTCCGCCTTGCCCCTTCCCTTCAAGACCCATCTCAAGATCCTCCTCTTCGACCGTGCTTTTGATCACGCTGCTTCCCCCCCTACCCTCCACCTCCCTAATCCCGACCCCCAGCTAGGGACTGAAACTGTGTCAGTCCAGCACCTTGGTACGTCCTCCTGACATGAAAGGCACTATACAAATGTAATTTTGTTGTTGAAGATTCTAAAGGGGCTAGACTATATAGCTAATGACAGACTGTTTCAACTTGTCCAGAATAGCAAAACCAGAGGACATAGCCTGCGATTGAAGGAGGGTAAATTCAGAACAAAACAAATCTATGCAAAGACTATTTCAGTGAGCGAATAGTGAACCTGTGGAACAGGCTCCTTAGTGAGATGGTTGAAGCAGGAAGTGTTGATTCCTTCAAATAAAGATTATATAGTTTTCTTTTAGGAAATAACATCATGGGATATAGTACATAGGTAGTTTGGGACATATGTGCATGCGACCACCAGGAAGGTGGAAGGCAACCTGGATGGATCTTTTTTCTCGTCTAGCAATTCTTATGTTCTTTAATAATCATATTATTAATAATAATAATCCTTGCATTTGGTACAGCGCCTTTCATGTCAGGAAGATATCTCAGAGCGCTTCATAGAATTTAATGTGAAATGGAGTATATAGTGACTGTATTTGTAGGCAAGCATGGCAGCCCAGTTGCGCACAGCAATACCCCAAGTGAATGACCAATTTTATTTGGGGGAATGTTGGCTGGTACTATTCTGAGTAGTGTCACAGGATCTTTATCATCAACCTGAACAGGAAGACAGGACTTTGGCTTAATGTTTCATCTACAATGCGGAAAAATTTAGGTAAATGGGAGGGGGGTGCGCGCTGGAATGAACTGGCTCCAATGAGACATGTCTAATAGGCCAGCGATAATCCTATTCCTTTGCAGAATAGAAGCAAAATGTGCCGGATGGTCATTGGTGGACAAGCACTGTGCTATGTAGTTACCAATGCATATTATGTATAAATCGTAATTTGCCACGTAATGTGGACAATTCATAGTTAGTTACTACAGCTATGTGTAATAATTGATTTTACCTTTTCTAAATAATAAGTGAATAATCAGAACAAAACTCACCACCAGAAAGGCAAAACAAGAATTTCTGGGACAGTCAAAGCTAGTAATAACATCTTCCAATCTGGGATAAGATATGCAAATAGGGACAGACAAATGTAGCCGATGGCATAGAATATGCCAACACCAATTGTTGAGTAAACAATCCTCGCAGACTTGATAAGCACCTCAGTACCTGTTGAAGCAATAAAAAACACTTGTCATTGAATGAAATCATTTACATATAATGAACCAATACAACAATAACAACCTTGCATATGATATAGTGCCTTATCACCTCTTCGAGAATATACTGTAAAGTGAATTGACTGTTTATATTAGTGGGTGAAACGTGGCAGCCAATAGCAACGTCCCACAAACATTTGTGAATTGAGTGTTTGTGGGACAATTTTTAAAAAAAAAGATTTTTATCCATCGAAAAGTAATCCACCAATCGACTAACAACCGGGTTACTAGTTACTGCTAGGTAACTAGAGGCGTGTGGAGTAAGAAAACTTGCCTAAGGTTTCACCCTGCCCAGGAATCGAACCCAGGTCCTCTGACTTGCAAGGCAAGTGCTCTAACTAATACTACAGGACTCCAATACTCTACAGGACTCATGACGAGTACATCTCCATTGTTAATACTGTATTTTTTTGTGAATGAGTTTATTCTGCTTAAAGATTGTGAGGTAGCCTCCTTTTCATAAATAAAATCTGTTGTTTTAAACTGGTGAGGGTTGACAAGTGCATTTTCAGGACAACAAGCTGTGAAGAGGGACTACAACACAGGCACCTTTCAGAGCTCACAGAACATTCAAAATATTTTCCTTACTCTAAGTAAAACCCCACTACAGTTATGCTCGTTGGTAATTTACAATATAATGCAAATTTACAATTATATTGCCTTTCACATTGGGAGGATGTTCCAAAGCCCTCAACAGCGCTGGCTAGGCACCTTCCCTAAGGGTGGAAGTCAATGGGGGTGGAGAGGAAAAGATGACCAAAAACACAGTCAAGTTAGATCTTGAGATGGATCTTGAACAAGGCGAGGAAAGGAATGAGTCAGATGAACTCTAGCCCAGAAAGGTTGAAAACCCACCTGCCAATGGCAGGCTGGACAGTGAAAAAACAGATAATCGTAATGAGCCAGGGCTGGTCATCATCCTGTGCATGCTCTGCCCCCCACCCCCCTCCCCCCCAGATGTTATAGGCTCCATATAAATGGATTAGATTATAAGAAAGCGGTGTTAAGATCTACAAAAGAGAAAATGGAAAAAAACAATAGAAACCGACAACTGGTGAACGGCTCCACTTTAATTTATGACAGAGTACCACTCATTGGAAAGCGGAGAAGAAACTGGAAGGACAGTGCCACCACATGGTCTGAAAAAGAACTGCTTTTATTTTAGAAAACTGCAGTGAATAAGGCCAGCAAAAGCTTAGTTAGGAATAATAATAATAATCGTTGCATTTGATATAGCGCCTTATCATGTCTTCGAGACGTCTCAAAGCACTTCACAGAATATACTGCAAAATACAGTGATAGTATATTTTGTGGGAGAAACGAGACAGCCAATTGCACACAGCAATAATAATATGGTAAAAACTCACATAAATCTTATCTTTATATATTGCACATCCTAAATCGTATAGGCACCTGAGTCCCATTCAGTTTATATGTTTATTGTATAAAATCAGACTTATACAAGTTTGCATGTAACTCATTCTTCACGCAAGTCATATTAAATGTTATGGCCCAGACTGATATGACTTATGCGAGTTTTACTGGAATAATAATCCTTACATTGATATAGTGCCTTTCATGTTGTGGTAAGAAGATAGATGTACCTCTCAGTGAAAATGACTGATTTGCAGGATAGTTATTTTTTATACGTGTACTCAAATACAATATGGATGCATAAACATTTTAGCACAAACCCAAGTAAGACAAAGAGCAGAGAATAATCTTTATACGCTAGTGTGCTAATATCACAGCAGTCTATCTGAAAAGGCGCTCAGAGCTACAAACAAATCCTGAAGGAAGTTAAGACGTACTAAATGCATAAAGAATTAATATTTTGAACATGGAATATACCAAAAATTGTACCAACAACAACTTGCACTTATATAGTGTTCAGGGTAGCGTCTCACATTAACAGTGGCGGAGCCTGAATCCGAGCCGTGGGTGGGGGAGGGGGGGGGGGTTGGGGTGTGGAGGTGGCTGTAAGCATGAAAAGGAAGGTTTTCAGGCAGAACTTGAAAAAGGGGAGAGAGGGGACAAGGCAGAGGGATTGAGGGAGAGTGTTCCTGAGTTTCAGGGCATAGTGGCTGAAAGTGCAACCTCCAACGTGGAGCGGAGGGCATGAGGCACAAGCAGGAGGCCTGTGCCAATCAAGTGGAGGAGCCACGTGGTGAATTGGGGAGTGAGGAGTGAGGAGAAATAGAGAGGTGTCAGGGAGTGAAGGGATTTGAAAATAGAGAAAATAAGACATGGGCGGGGTCGGGGGGTGCAGGGGGGGCGATGGGGGTTGTTGGGGGGAAAGAAGAAGTTTGTTTTGGGTCTAGATTTACTCCATTCTTTACCATTTCATAGAGTGCAGAATTTGGCAAATTGTTGAATTCACTCATAACTTGGGAACAGGTTTTCTGCAGTTGTTGAATTTTTTTTTGAAAAGGCAGCTTCAAAGTTGAGACAATGTCAGAATTGGTATTTCGACTTCAAAATTCATTTGTCAGTCTAGCTAAGTTGGTAGCACTCTTGCCTCCAAATTAGAAGGTTGTGGGTTCAAGTCCCAAATCAGGATTTGGATTTAAATAGTCTAAGATGACACTCCAATGCATTGCTGGTGGTGTGCTGCATTGTTAGAGGTGCTGTGTTTTGGATGAATTGTTAAATTGTCTACCTGTTCAGGTGGACACTAAAGATCCAATGGCACTATTCAAAATGAGAAGAGAGTTTCTCCCGACGTGCTCCAGACATGAAAAGGCTCTATTTATGCCAAATACAAGGATGATTATTATGTGTCACTTATTCTTAGGAAGGATATTATTGTCTTTGAGCTTGTGAGAAATTGTTAAGAAGGTTGGCTTTATTTTTTCTTTGGAGAAAGAGGAAATATTGAGGCAATCTGAGTTAAATATATATTATTATGAATGGAATCAATAGTCAAACCAGGCAAATTGTCTACGATTCTGTCAGATGGATACAATAGGAATGCAAAACAGAAATAGAGGGAAACCATAAAAGCAAACTCACCAAGAACAAAAGCCGCAATATAATTTGAGATATCACCAATGCCAATAAAAAAGGACAGTACACAGAACATCTCCCAGCTGGTACAGGCCACTTGAATGAAACTGAAGATTGTCTGCATTGCAATACCTCCAAAAAGAACAACTTTTCTTCCGTACCTGTAGAACAACAAAAAGATTCCACTATATTTCAGTCATTGACATGATTCAGTGCGAAACATTTCATACTCCTAATTAACATATTTATATCCATTTTGTCTTTGTAATCGCACGTAATAGGTCCTGTATATTTTTGTCATGTTACTGATTTTTTTTATTGTTGCGCCCATCCTGCTTCAAATGGGAATTTGAACCCAGGAGGTTTTGTGAGGTATACTTCAAAATTTAATCAACAGAGCTGCTTACAGAAGAGGGCAGTGTTAAATAACAACAAAAAAAAGCAAAAAAAAACTAAAAAAAAACTAAAAAACTCATTAGAGCGAGAAAAAGGAGTATGAGGGTAAGCTAGCTAGGAACATTAAGTCTGATTGTAAAAGTTTTTACAAATACATAAACAGGAATAGGCTAGTGAGGGTAAATGTAGGTCCTCTTCAGTCAGAGATGGGAGAAGTTGTAATGGGGGATAAGGACATGGCAGAGTCCCTAAATGGGTACTTTGCATCTGTCTTCACCCGAGAAGACAGAACAAGTCTGCCAACAATAGGGATGCACCAAGGGGATAAGTACAGGGAGCAACTTAGGGAAATTTTCATTAGCAGAGAATTGGTGCTAGGAAAACGTAGCACTAAAAAGTGACAAATCCTCTGGTCCGGATGGCTTGCATTCCAGGGTTTTAACATTAATAGCTTATGAGATAGTGGAGGCCTTGTGTCTGATCTTCCAAAGTTCCTTGGATTCTGGAACAGTCCCCATGGATTGGAAGATTGCAAATGTCACACCACTATTTAAAAAAGGTGGAAAGGAAAAGATGGGGAACTATAGGCCAGTTAGTCTCACATCAGTGATCGGAAAAATTTAGAATCATTGATTAAGGATGTGGTAGTGCAGTATTCAGGGGAGCACAATATAATTAGGCCAAGTCAACATGGCTTTACAAAAGGGAAGTCATTTTTGACAAATTTCATAGACTTTTTTTAGGGTATTTCCAGTAAACTAGATAAGGGTGTATCAGTGGATGTGGTCTATTTGGACTTCCAGAAGGCATTCTATAAGGTGCCGCATAAAAGGTTAGTCCAAAAGATAAGGGCCCATGACATTAGGGGGAGCATATTAACATGGATTGGGGAATGGTTAACGGGTAGGAAACAAAGAGTAGGGAAAAACGGGTTCTTTTCAGATTGGTGGGATGTGACTTGTGGAGTGCCACAAGGATTAGTCCTTGGGCCTCAGGTATTTACCATCTACATCAACGATTTAGATGAGGGCATTGAAGTTAATATATCCAAATTTGCGGATGACACAAAACTAGGAGGAAGTGTCAACACAGAGGATGACATTAAAAAAATGCATCGAGACATAGATAGGTTAGATGATTGGGCAGGTAGGTGGCAGATGAAGTATAATGTAGGGAAGTGTGAAGTCATCCACCTAGGTAGCAAAAAACAGTAGAGTGGGTTATTTTTTAGAAGGGGAGAGATTAGTCTGCAGGTGCAGCAGCAATTAGGAAGGTGAACGGTATGTTAGCATTCATTATGAAAGGATTAGAGTATAAGAGTAGGGAAGTCTTGCTGCAACTGCATAGGGCCCTGGTGAGACCACACCTAGAATACTGTGTGCAGTTTTGGTCTCCCTATTTAAGGAAGGATGTACTTGCCTTGGAGGGGGTGCAGCATAGATTTACTGGGTTAGTACCAGGGATGAAGGGGATGAGTTACGAGGGTAGGCTGATCAATTTGGGCCTATATTCTCTAGAATATAGAAGAATTAGAGGGGATCTTATAGAAACCTAAAAGATCATCAAAAGGCATGATAGAGTAGATAGTGAGAGATTGTTTCCCCTGGTTGGAGAAACTAAAACCAGGGGTCACAACCTTAAAATCAGAGGCCAGCCCTTTCACACTGAGTTGAGGAAGAACTTCTTCACTCAAAGGATTGTGAATGTATGGAACTCACTACCCCAAAGGGCTGTTGACCCTCAGTTCTTGAACAGATATATTTCTTATTGCAAAAGGGATTAAGGGATATGGGGATAAGGCAGGGTTAGGTTATTAGCTGGTGTTAGATTAGAAGATCAGCCATGATTGAATGGCGGGGCAGACTCGAAGGGCCGAATGGCCTACTCCTGCTCCTATATGTTATGTTAGGTTAACAACAACTGGCACTTACGTAGCACCCTCCACGCAGGGCAACATCTCAATGCGCTTAAGAGTGGCGGAGCTTGACTCCGAGCCGGGGGAGCAGGGGGGAGGTGGCCGTAAGCACGATCAAAGAGGAAAGTTTTCAGGCGGGACTTGAAAAAGGGGAGAAATGGGGCAAGACGGAGGGAATGTGGGAGAGTGTTCCAGATTTTTGGTGTGTAGTGGCTGAAAATGTGACCTTTGATGGCGGGGTGGGGGTGCGAGGGATGAGCAGGAGGCCGGTGCCAGTTGAGTGGAGGCGCCGGTTGGTGGATTGCGGAGTGAGGATGTCAGAGAGGTAGGGAGGTGCCAGGGAGTGAATAGATTTGAACACGAGTGTGAGGATCTTGAAGTCGATCCGTTCAGTGATGGGGAGCCAGTGGAGCCTGGCCAGAACTGGTGAGAAGTGGGTTGGAATAATCCAAGAGGGAGGTGACAAACGCATGCACGAGGGATTCGGCTGCATTTGGGGTAAGGTACAGTCGTAGATGGACAATGTGGCAGAGGTGGAAGAAATCGGTCCTGGTCAGGGACCGGACGTGGCAGAGGAAGGACAGTTGGGGGTCGAACCGGATGCCTAGGTTGCGCACTGGTTCAGTGAGTCTGAGGGAGAGCCCAGGGAGGTTGAGGAGTTTAGATCTGCAGGATGTAAACTGACTAGTTAAAGTACTTTGTTTACTCTTGCACCTGTCTGAAACGTGTCCTGAGATTATTGAGCCAAACAGAGCCCCTAGGAAAAACACAGACGAGGTAAATGGTCCTTTCCAGTTATTGTCACAGACTAGATCCCACTGCAAAGGAAAAAAATATAAGTAATTGAATCCAAACAAACACATATCTGCTTTGATAATTGATTAACTAAAATGAAATAAATGATATACTGCCTTTTACGTCAGGAAGACATTTCCAAGTGATTCACAGGATTTGCTGCAAAATGCAGTGATAGTCGAATGTGGCTGCCAATTTATGCACAGCAATGTCTCACAAACAGCCATGAAGTGAAGTGATGATTTTTTTATTTGCATTTGTTGGCCAGGACACTGGGAGAAACTCCTCTTTTCAAATAATAATAATAATTCTCGCATTTAATATAGGCCCTTATCATGTCTTCCCGAGACATCTCAAAGGGCTTCACAGAATATACTGCAAAATGAATTGACTGTATATTTTGTAAGTGAAACACGTCAGGCAATTGCGCACAGCAGTGGCTTACAAACAGTGTGGATTGAGTGACCAAATTATTATTTTATTTTAAAAAGGATTATTACCCCTCGAAAAGCGTTCCGCCAATCCACTTACTGCTAATTTACCTATCAGTAAGTTTCTACTTACTGCTAGGTAAACAAGGTGTGTGGAGTAAGGAAACTTGCCCAACTTGCCCAAATAGTGCCATGGGATGTTTAACAACAAAAACAACAACAAAATTACATTTGTATAGCGCCTTTCACGTTGGGAGGATGTCCCAAGGTGCTGGACAGACAGAGATATGGACCCGAGCTGAGGGTCAGGGTGGGGGAGGGGGGAGGGCGGGGGAAAGCAGGGAGATTGAAAGCACGGTTGAAAAGGAGGGTCTTGAGGTGGTTCTTGAAGGTGGCGAGGGAGGGGCGAGACAGAGGGACTGTGGGATGGAGTTCCAGAGGATGGGTGCAGAGTGGCGGTAGGCCCGCCCGCTGATAGTGGGGCGAGCAAGGCAGGGACATGAAGCAGGCTGGAGCCCACTGAGCGGAGGGAGCGAACAGGGTGTTAGGGGATTAGGAAGTCGGAGAGATAGTGAAGAGCAAGACCATGGAGGGCTTTGAAGGTGAGGACCAGGATCTTGAATTGTATCCTCTGTGCGATGGGAAGCTAGTGGAGTTGGGCGAGGATGGGGGTGATAGGGTCGCAGTGCCTGGTGCGGGAGAGGAAATGGGCTGCAGAGTTCTGGATGATCTGCAGCCTGTGAAGGGAGTTGTTGGGGAGGCCGACAAACAGTGAGTTTGCATAGTCGAGCCTCAATGTAATGAAGGCATGTATGAGGGTTTTGGCGGCCTGCGGTGTGAGACAGTGTCAGAGCTGGGTGATGTTGCGGAGGTGGGAGAAGGCAGATGTGCAAATGTGGGGTAGAAAGGATAGTTGAGGGTCAAACAAGAACCCCAAGATTCCAGAGTGGTTTAGCAAGGTGGAGTGTGCAACCATGGATGGTGATGCTGTCAGCACTTGAGGTGAGGACGGGAGCCAATCAGGAGAGCCTCGGTCTTGTTGATGTACAACTGAAGAAAGTTAGTTCTCATCCAGAACTTGATGTCTGACAGACATTCTGTCAGCACAGCAGTGGTCCTGGTCAAAGGTGGAGGCAGAGAGGTGGAGTTGGGTGTCATCCGCATACATGTGGAAGTCGACCCCAATGTCTGTGGATAATGTCACCAAGAAGAAGGAGCATATAGATATTGAAGGGGAGGGGACCAAGGACAGATTCCTGAGGAACACCACACTAGACGGTCCAGGGGCTTGAGGAGAAAAGATCCACCTCAATGGATAGATTTAAAATCCCTCAGAGTTTAACATTTCATCTGAAGGACTCCATTTTGAATAATGCAGCACACACTGAAGGGTCAACTTAGACTATACAAGTTCCAAGTCTTGGCATGGGGATTGAACCCACAACATTCTGACAAAGAAGTGAGATTTCTACAACTGAGCCGGGCTGACACACATTTAAACGCTTTCATTGTCTCTGGAATTGAATGAGGACACAGATCCTGACTATCATGGAAAGGCTCTTTTTCTACTTCACATAAATTTACAGGCCAGCGGATCCTTTATATCCCTGTACTCTTCACCCCACCAAAATATAGCACATAATATATAAGGTTAGCTATTATCAGGAACAAGTGGTCACTGGGTATCAAGGGCACATGGGCTGATAACTGACAAATGAGGTCCTATGTGTAGTACGTTGCATTAACTTGTATTAAACCAATTCACTGACTGCATTTGCAAATAAATGCAAGGTACTACACATACGATCCAAGAATAGGGAACACAAGTACTCAATGTACTCAAAAACAACTGAACTTGTTTTGTTCGTGGAGTCCTGTAGCTCAGTGGTTAGAGCACTCGCTTTGCAAGCGAGAGACCTGAGTTCAATTCCAGGCAGAGGGCGAAACCTTGGGCAAGTTTCCTTACTCCACACGACTAATAATAATCCCTCCAAAAACAAAAAACAATAATAAATTGGTCATTTTCAATCTACGACTGTTTGTGGGACATTGCTGTGCGCAATTGGCTGCCGCGTTCGCCCACAAATATACAGTCAATTCACTTTACAGTGTGTTCTGTGAAGCGCTTTGGGACGTCCTCCCGACGTAAAAAGCGCTATATCAAATGCAAGGATTATTATTATTATTATTATTATTATTTGTTTCTTGCCAAGTGGGAAGCTGAAAGTGATCTAGGGGTGTTTGTTGATTTGTTGGTCACGATGTCAAAACAATGTAAAGCAACAATAAACATGGCAAAAAAGGACAACAAAAACAACAACAAATTGTATTTAGGTTTCTGGGCTATATGATTAAATCGGTTGAGTTTAGATCCCCAGATGTCATAATCAGACTGTGCAGGGCTCTGTCAGACCGTACTTTGAATACTGCAGACAGTTCTGGTCACCACACATAAGGGGGCTGCCCAGATCTTAGAGTCAGTACAGAAGCCAGAAGACAGTAACGAGGATGATCCTTAATGGTAGAGGAATGAGCTATAATATAGAGGAGTGAGCTATGATCATCTATTAGGTAAACCTGGGCTATTCAGTCTTAAAAGAAGACAACTCATAGGGGAGCTCATTGAACAGAGATCGAGTTAACGCAAAATCGTGCATGTATCGTGCAACACTACCATGTATACAATTTATTTTTACAATCCAAGATTTGTCAGTCAAGGTTCTTTGTTGTCTCATATATCTGACTGTCTGATTGATAGATCTTGGGCGGATGGACTAAAATGAAACATGCTTGTTGATTGGTCTGTGTTACACATGATCATTTAGGAAAGTTTGCATACCCATGCGTCCAGGGTATGCATTTTTAAAAACCCTGACTCTAGCGATTTCTGTAGAGGTGTACAGAATTTTAAATGGGATTGAAAAGATACCATAGATCAATACTTTGACATGTATCATTACCTTAGAACAAGAGGACATAGGTACAGAGCTAAAAAGGGCAATTTCAGGATACATTTTTAAGAGAATTTTAAAAGCTGGGAGAGAAATAGCAACGCAACACGATTTTGGAAGAATATTCCAGAGGACAAGAGCTGAAGGCTTGCCCACCAATGGTCGAACAAAAGGAGTGAGGAAGGAGCATTAAATGGAAAAGTGAAGAATATGGTTTAAAATTATTTCATTGGTGAGGTGGTGCAAGCGAAGAGCGATTGAGAAACAAGGATCCACATCTCACAGGTGACGTGATTTACAACAATCTTTAATCTATGATTCAAAACGGATTCTGCATTGTGACTTTGTTTTTTCTAAGTACACGAACCTGTGTCCTTTCGCACTACTCAATAATAGCCTACAACTTTTATATAATCTATGTCTCATCACCAAATCTGTATCAAGTCCCCTTCCTCCAATTTCCTTTCTCTAAGGATAGCAAGTTCAGCTCTGTGAGCCTTTACATCTAACTGACATCTAACCTCTGGAAACTTCCTTTTGGTTCTTTGAATTCTCTCCAGTACAGTATTTTTTGGAAAGCAGCTTGCCCACAACTACATAAGATATACCAACTGTGGCAACATCAATAAGATCTGCATTTTTAACTCAGTCTCCAGGCTATGTTCCCAAATGACTGCCAATCCTAAACTTGGATCATAAAACAGTGATCACAGAAACTGTGATCAATGAAGCAACAACAACAGCAATTTGTATTTTTCTCTTTGACCGTGCCTTCAGCTCCCCTCATTTATCTGCTTGGTACCGTACAGCCCTCTGGACTCGATATTGATTTCAATAATTTCAGACCATAACACCACACATTCTCCCTCCCCCTCTTCTGTGATCATTACCACATCATCTGGGTCCCAGGCACAACTTTTCTCTCTCTGGTCTGCCTGTATCAACGTGCGTAAAACTGAGGCCCTCCTGATTGGCTCACGTCAGTGCCTCTGCACCTCTGGCGCTGACAGCATCAGCATCCAAGGCTGCACTCTCCACCTCTCAAAGCCGTCAGGAACCTTAGGGTTCTGTTCGACCCTGAGCTGTCCTTTCTCCCTCATATCTGCGCCACAACTGGCACCGCCTTCCATCACCTCCGGAACATTGCCAGACTACGGCACTACCTCACCCCTCACGCGGCTGAAACTCTGGTCCACGCCTTTATCACCTCAAGGCTGGACTATGGGAACTCTCTCCTCGTCGGCCTTCCCGGCACCTCCCTCCACACTGCAGGTCATTCAGAACTCTGCAGCTCGTGTACTGTCCCACACCAGGACCACATCACTCCCACCCTCGCTCGCCTCCACTGGCTCCCCATCCCCCAGAGGATCGAATTCAAGATCCTCATCCTCACCTACAAGGCCATTCACGGCCTCGCTCCCTCCTACCTCTCCGACCTTACTATCCCCCTACCTACCTGCCCGTACCCTCCGTTCCTCTGGCTCCGGTCTGCTCCACATCCCCCGCCCCAACCGCCCTACCATCGGTGGCCGGGCCTTCAGCCTCTCAGCCCCGAGGCTCTGGAACTCTATCCCCCAGTGCCTTCGCCGCCTCCTCCCTTTCCTCCTTCAAGGCCGGTCTCAAGACCTTTCTCTTCGACCGTGCCTTCAGCTCCCCTCTCGACTCTCTACCCCCTCCTCGCTCCCTCCCTTCCCTCCCCTCACCCTGACCATTTACCCCCTGCTCGGGTCCTGACCCAACTGTACAGCGCCTTGGGACGTCCTCCCGACGTGAAAGGCGCTCTATAAATGGAATCTTGTTGTTGTTGTTGTATTTGTATTGTGTCCTTCATGCAGGACAGTGCCTCAGAGCGAAGCAACTGGTGATGTTTGACTCATAAACAAACAAAATGTTAAATTTAGATAAATGCTGATACATGTTGAAATCAACATTCAGGTTTTGTAATACATGTAGTTTACTTTCAATGACCTTTAATGCACCAATGTAAAATTACAATATTTTTTAAGTTCCTAGCCACTATCTAGAGCTTCTTCAAAATCACTATTTGATGCCAAGTCTCCTGAAGGTCATGGGTTTGAATCCTTTCCAAGCATTTGTGTAATTCAAATTGCAAATATTCAGCCAACTACCAGGAAAATGACCACAGCACTGTCAGAAAAAACTACTTTTGAAATCTGTAATCTTGGCCCAGTCTGGTCTGCACACAACTGCAGTCAAGAATAGTTGATTTTTAACAACCTCTGCTGTGGGCAACAGGTCACTCAGTCAGGGTAAACAGCAATGGGCAATACACATAGGTCTTGCCAGCTTCGCCTACATCTCCAGATGAACAAAAAAAGGAAAAATATATAAATATACAAAAAGATTGAAAATTCCTACCTGAGTGACAATAGTAGAGATGTACCTGTCAGTGCTGTACTCCCAGCCATCCACACAGGGCTCAGTCTCACGTGTTGTGTCATTTAAATCATCTGTTACAGGAGTTTTGTATCTTCTACATCGACTGTAGATCATCTCACCATCCACCTCCTCTACAGGCAGCAGTGAACTCAGATTAGCTTCTCCAGTGGTTCCATTCAGAGAGTCAGGCAGATGGCAGTGGTGCTGAGGGGTGTCTGCCAGAAACACCATAGATAGAGTCACGTAGCCATTTGGGATGATAGTGACACATAAGAAAAAGAAAATTCTTCTCTGGAAGGGTCCCCATTCTCCAAGGAAAGCTGTGGCTTCATCATAATCCTGCATTTTCACTTTTTGTTTCCCCCTTCTGTATCTGGTAGTTCTGCAGAATGGGCCCAAAACTGCTTATTTTCATAAAGATTCTACTGAGGGAAAAAATTAAGTCATTATTTCAAGGAAGAGTGACTAAATCACACACAGCATAATTTTTTCAACACCTTTTAAACAAAAACAACAACAAATTACATTTGTCTAGAGCCTTTCATGTCAGGAGGATGTACCAAGGCGCTGGGACAGTCAGGGATTTGTACCCAATCAGTGGGTTGGAATAGGGGGAAGGGCAAGGAGTAGGAGGGTGACCAAAGGCATGGTCGAAAGAGGGAGGGTCTTGAGAGTGGCCTTGAAAGAGGCAACGGAAGGATGAGACAAAGGGACTGTGGGATGTTGTTTCAAATAGTGGAAGCAGAACAATTGAAGACCCGAATATTGTCGGTGGGGCAGACCGGGCGGGTGACATGGAGCAGGGCAGAGCCCTCTGAGCGGAGGGAGTGGACAGGTCTACATGGAGTTACCAGGTCACAGAGGTAGGGAGGAGCAAGGCCATGGAAGGAGGGTTTTGAAGGTGAGAATTTTGAACTCTATCCTCAAAACCAAACAGCTTTTTAAACTCAAACAATTTGAGAATGAATCTTCATACCCGATTAAGAAGCTCATATACACACATATATATATAGTGGCAGGTCATGTATAATGACGTTGTGTGTAAGATGAATTTGAAAGTTGATTTCTGACACATGCAGAAGCCCATTTTAAAACACCATGCTTAAAAGTATCAACGTTAATCAAAAGCATCAAAACTATTGGGATGGTACATCCTGCTCACTTGATCCCAGAAAGTGTCAGACACAGGATGGCTCCACCGATCAGCCACTGAAGTACTAATGTAATTTGACGAATTAAAACCAAATAACTTTTTGTTAAAAGTTGTTAAAACTAGCAAGCTTCATTACTTATCCGCCCTGTACCACCCTTTAACACGTTTCTCCAAAGCTGAGCACCAGTTTCGTAATCAAGTTTTAACTTTTTACTTTAACTGAAACAGGATCAAAATATTTTTCTAGTGTGTGTGTGTGGGGGGGAGGGGTTGTGGTATATTGCAATGCCTTCCAAATAAAATTAACAGCTGCAAAGCATGTTGGCTAACTGACAGTTTTAAAGGTTAACAAAACAACTGCAGCTGCTGAAAATCTGTAAACACAAACAGAAGTGGCTGGGAACACTCAGCAGGTCAGGAGTGACTTGCTGAGTGTTCCCAACGACTTCTGTTTTTGTTTTCAGTTTTAAAGACTCAACTGGGAAAGGAATTTTGCTGCTAATCTGAACGTTGACCATAACGGTTATAACATGCGCTGCACAAAGCACTGGTCATCGATTCTGCCTTATAAAATGGAACAAACAACAATCAACAAATAATAATCAAGAAAAATAATAATCCTGACAACACACAAATTCCTGAAGCGACAAGCGGGAACAAAATTCTACTGCAAAACAATCCACTAACACCGGTGGCCCCACAACCTTAACAAAAGCAAGTGTTATTCGTGAACACTTTTTCCTGTTTCCAGCATCTGCAGTATTTTGCCTTTTGTTGAGTGTTATTCAAAATGCTGAATTAAAACACGCTTTTCTGGGTCCTATTAACAATGCCTCAATGCAATGAGGAAAACAGTGGTAAGTGGCAGACACAGAAAGTTGGTTTTGTTGCAGAAGATTGTTTTATCCGCCATCTGGTCCCTTAATTATCATTATTACACTCCCTCAATCCCTCCCTCTGCAGTTTCTCTCACTCAACCAATCACTCGAGTCTCTCTGTCCATTTCACTCACTCATTCCCTCTCTCACTCAGTGCCTCTCTCTCTCACTCATTCCCTCTCTCACTCAGTGCCTCTCTCTCTCACTCATTCCCTCTCTCACTCATTCCCTCTCTCACTCAGTGCTTCTCTCTCTCACTCATTCCCTCTCTCACTCATTCCCTCTCTCACTCAGTGCCTCTCTCTCTCTCACTCATTCCCTCTCTCACTCACTGCCTCTCTCTCACTCATTCCCTCTCTCACTCAGTGCCTCTCTCTCTCTCTCTCTCACTCATTCCCTCTCTCACTCATTCCCTCTCTCACTCAGTGCCTCTCTCTCTCTCATTCCCTCTCTCTCTCACTCATTCCCTCTCTCACTCAGTGCCTCTCTCTCTCTCTCACTCATTCCCTCTCTCACTCATTCCCTCTCTCACTCAGTGCCTCTCTCTCTCTCATTCCCTCTCTCTCTCTCTCACTCATTCCCTCTCCCACTCAGTGCCTCTCTCTCTCTCTCTCTCTCTCACTCATTCCCTCTCTCACTCATTCCCTCTCTCACTCAGTGCCTCTCTCTCACTCATTCCCTCTCTCACTCACTCACTCACTCACTCAGCTCCTCAGTTGTTGTTGTTGTCTCTCACTGTCCCCAGTGTCAGCTCCTCATTGATCAGGACACAGGTTGTATGCTCTCCTTAAGTTGGGCACTGCTGCTGATAGGCTGCAGGGCTGTGCGGTTGCCTCAATCCAAGTGCTCAGCCTGTTCCTGGCACCGCATGGGCTGGTTGCGTGCCCTGTGTGGCGTGGTCAATGATGTGGTGTTTTTCGAATGTAATTGGGAACTACCCTCACAAGATGTACGCAATGTACAGACAACAACTTTCCTTTATATAGTGCCCCTCACACAGGGCACAGTCCCAGAGTGCTCATCCTGTCACCAAAGAGTGTCCCGCAAATGTGCGCACACTGCACATTGCACATGTGGTAAATCTGTCCGTGTCCCCCATAAATGAGGAAATGACAGAGAGGAGCGACAAGACCCACCATGTAACTGGGCACTAGCTGGACAAGCAGCCAGACAGCAATATCAATGGCAAGCTATGCAGTTTTAACTGGTTAGACTACAGCAGTACCACAATGCACACTCTGGGGTCCCCAAGCCTTAACTCTTGCCAACCTACACCTAATACTTTCTGGAATTAGGTAACAACCACAACAAAATTACATTTGTATGGCGCCTTTCATATCTGGAGGACGTCTCAAGGCGCTAGACAGACAGTTTCAGAGCTGAGCTGGGGGTCCAGATTGGGGAGGGTGGAGGTGAGGGAAGGCAGAGCGGGTCATGGCACAGATATGGGGTAGAAAGGATAGTTGAGGGTCAAACAAGACCCCAAGGTTACAGATAGGCTTAGTAAGGTGGAGTGTGCAACCATGGGTGGTGATGCTGTCAGCACTGTCAGGTAAGCAGGATGCATCCCTCCAGGGAAAGAGAGTGCATTCCGTTCCAATAATCTATCTCTGGGATTTCCACGTGTAGGTGGGATGCATGGAATTCTCAGTTTAGTTTGGATACTATTAAGTATGGTGATGGGTTTCCGCATGTGTTGACCCCAAAAAAATTGTTTGCATTGGGCAGTATGAATGAGTTGCTGGAAGTGGGAGGACCAAATGAAATCAAAAAGAGTAGGGTACAACACCATTCACAGTTATACCCTGACATTAACTGTAATTGCTTCGATATAAAGTCCTTACACATTTGCAGGATTCAGATGCAGCCTGAATTACTCCACACACCTAATAATAATCCCTCCAAAAACAAAAACAATAATAAATTGGTCATTTTCAATCCAAGACTGTTTGTGGGACACTGCTGTGCGCTATTGGCTGCCGCGTTTCGCCCACAAATATATGGTCAATTCAATTCAAATACAGCATATTCTATCAATAATAATAATAATAATCCTTGCATTTGATATAGGGCTTTTCACGTCGGGAGGACATCCCAAAGCGCTTCACAGAACACACTGTAAAGTGAATTGACTGTATATTTGTGGGCGAACGCAGCAGCCAATGCGCACAGCAATGTCCCACAAAAAGTCGTAGATTGAAAATGACCAATTTATTATTGTTTTTGGTTTTGGAGGGATTATTATTAGGCTCTGTGTGGAGTAAGGAAACTTGCCCAAGGTTTCGCCTTGCCTGGAATTGAACTCAGCTCTCTCGCTTGCAAAGCGAGTGCTCTAACCACTGAGCTACAGGACTCCTATGAAGAGCTTTGAGACGTCGAGAAGACATGAAAAGGGTTATATCAAATGCAAGGATTATTTATTATTATATAATTGCCTGATCTGCAGGTAGAAATGTATTGATAACAAGGAGTAAGTTGGGGAAAGAGGAGAGAATTGAGAACAAGAGTTAAATAGGATGAACAAAGCAGAAGTTATTTCTAATAATAACAATCATCCTTGCATTTGAAATAGCCCGTGATCACATCTTCGAGACGTCTCACAGCGCTTCACAGAATATAACAACAAAAACTTGAAACATGAATACAGCACCCCTCAAGCATGGTAGCGTCCCAGAGTGCTTGACAGTGGCTGAGCATAGTAGGCACGGTCGAAGAGGAAGGTTTCAGGCGCGAGAAGGAAGGAAGGGACAAGTAGGAAGAACAGAGAAAGAATGTTCCAGAGTTTGTGGCATAGTGGCTGAAAGCACAGTCACCAGTGGTGGAACAGAGGGCACTAGGGATATGCAGGAGGCTAGAGCCAGTCGAGCGGAGGCAGCGGTAGTGGGTTGGGGAGTAAGCAGGTTGGAGAAGTAGAGAGGTACAAGGGTATGAAGGGATTTGAAAGCGAATGTAAGGATCTTGAAATCAATCAATTCAGCAATAGGGAGCCAAAATTGAGCTTGGCTGGAACTGGTGTGATGCAGGTATGGAGTTTAGTACGGGTGAGTAAGCGAGTGGCGGAGTTTTGGATCAGCTGGATTCTGTGGATAGTGGAACTGGGGAGACTTGCAAGGAAGCCATTGAAAAGTCAAGGCGGGGTGTGACAAACACGTGGATAGGTTTTGTGTCTGCATCTGGAATAAGGTACGATCGGAGGCGGACAATGTGGCAGAGGTAGAGGAAGGTGGTCCTGGTCAGGGACCGGATGTGGGGAAGAAAGGACAGCTGTGGGTGAAACCTGATGCCTAGGTTACGCACCAGTTCGGGGAGTCTGAGGGATAGGTCGAGGAGGTTGATCCACAGGACTGAAAATGTTGACGGGAGTCAAGGAGTATAGCTTCCGTCTTGTCAACATTTAGTGCTAAATGTTTGCACTAATCCAGGCCCTGATGTCTACCAGACAAGCCGACAGAACATCGGTAGACCTGGAGTGCCAGTTGGAGGACGAGAAGTAGATTTGTTAGTCATCTGTGGAATTTTACCTCATGTCTACGGATGAGATTCCTAAGAGGGAGCATGTGGATGAGGAAGAGGAGGGATCCAAGGATGGAGCCCAGTGGTATGCCACAGGGTGGGGACGGGAGAAGAAACCGTTTGATTATACTGTAAAGTGAATTGATTGTATATGTTGTGGGTGAAACGCGGCAGCCAATTGTAGTATCATGGATTGAGGGACCAAATTATTATTTTAAAAAATATTTTTTGAAAAGATTATTACCCTTTTAATTTTATTACTGGGTGTTTTGAGTCATGGGGAGCAGATTAACATCAAGGAGTAAACTGAAGGGGTCAAGTAAAGAAAGGCATGAGCTGGTTTATTTCTAGGCTGGGCTGTAGAAATGGGTAAAGAATAAAAATTGAAGTGGGAGCATCTGGAATGGAAGAACGTTTGTGAAATATTGTGAAGGCGGAGAATGCAAAATATGCAAAGGCTGAGAATGTGAGGAATTAATTAAGTAAAACTTGTATGCGGAAATTAAAACAAGACTGAGATGGTTGATTCATTGATGAAGTGATATTAACAATAGAAACTATTGAATCATGAATTTACTGCAGGGAGAAATACCTGATAACATGCCAGTTTTTTTGTGTAATGTTCTTCATTTTACTCCTCAAATTGCTTGTGAGATGAGTACTCCGATCAATGCACTACAGGACTTTTCAGTAATTCTTATGAAGCACTTTGAGACATCGCGAGAACATGATAAAGTGCAATATCCAATGTAAGTACTATTTATTATTATATTACTCAATGTGTCACTTGGACTCTTGCATAAGTTGGCCATTAACCATACAACGTAAAAAAAAATTATCAAAATCTCGAAGAGGTCCTGGAATGAGAATAAATGAAATGTTGAATTGAAACAAAAGTAAATTCTTATTGAGCATGGTATTGACAAGTTTGTAATGAGTGTGGCAAACAATTTGAGAGTTGTGCACATTACAAACTTAATACCTCCTTGACACCCTGTAATTCAGTCCTCCATTTTGTTTTGTAACGTTCTGGCAGCTACTTTTTCATAGTCTCAGGTTAACAACACTCCTGTCAGACTTTGTGACTGCTTCAGGTTGGTTTGGCATTCTATATTCTCATGTAAGTTTATCAAATTATAATTTACAAGAACTGAACTATGATAGAAGGTATGTAAGTTTTGCACAATACAATTGATTATAACTTATTGCTAAAATAATTCTGGCATTTGATATAGCGGCTTATCACATCTTTAAGACGTCTCAAAGAGCTGCACAAAGTGCTGTATTCAGTATTCAAGATGTCAGTCAAGTGTAATTGCATGACAAAGTGCTATATCAAATGCAAGGATTATTATTTTACTTCTGCGTCCATTTAAAGTGTGAAAAAATAAGAAGCGAGAGAGAGATACAGAGACACACGCAGACAGACAGATACTGCAGGGTTACTTAAAATCTATGACCCTGCAGTGAAGTATGAACTGACACAAACACTCAATTTGCTATAATTAGTAAATTTTAATAAAGGTTAGCAAGATTATAGATATCAAGGTTATACATTTTATACAATCAAAATAATGCTTATGACAGGTTAATGCAGTTCACTGAAATTAATTAATCGGATCAATTGTTGAGACCTGTAGCTCAGTTATTAGAGCAGTCACCTCGCAAGCGAGAAATCTGGATTTGATTCCCGGCAGGGCAAAATGTTGGGCAAGTTTCCTTTCTCCACACACCTCTGTTTATCTAGCAGTAAGTAGGAACCTGGTTGTTAGTCGATTGGTGGATCACTTTTCCGGGGGTAATAATTCCTTCAAAAAAAATAATAAATTGGTCACTCAATCCACGACTGTTTATGGGACACTGCTGTGCACAATTGGCTGCTGCGTTTCGCCCATAAAATATCCAGTCAATTAACTTTACAGTGTATTCTGTGAAGGGCTTTGAGACGTCTCGAAGACGTGATAAGGCGCTATTTCAAATGCAAGGATTATTATTATTAATACAGTGGCTTTGATGGAGCAATCAACTTGTTAACTTGTTGAGTCGATCCATGTTGATCATGTTATATCCCTCTTTCCTAGAGATTGGATGCGGTTAGCGGCACGTTGCTTCTATGTTCCAAAAATTCAGCTCTCTGGGTTTTTAATACCTTTTTGGTCACGTATACCAGTCTGTTCAATGTGTTGTTGTAGACACTAGCTGCAAAGCAAGGAAAACTTTATCTTCCATGGTGAAGAAAATCTTGTTCTTCCATTTGCCCTTGGCCTTCATCCATTTGTGTATATAGTGAGCCTTTATGAAGTAAACAAATTAAACAAATTTCTTTGGTCAAGTTAAGACAACCAAGAATTCTGGGATTGCTTACAATACAGAAATATACACAGAAAGAGAAAGAGAGAGACAAGTACAAAGGCACATACAGACAGAAAGAGGT